TCTGCTTTTCTCTACCCATGCTGTCAAACCTGAATGTAAGCTCCCTGGGGCAGAGTCCTGTCCTACACTCCAAGGCCCCTCAATTGTTAAATGGCAAAACAATAATAATAATAATAATAATAATAATAATAATAATCTGAAAGTGCAATTAATTATCCTCAGTGGGCTCAATTGTCCTCAAGAGCCAAGCCTTTGAAACTCTGTTTGCAATGCTTTCTTAGGCCCTGCTTCCTCCCAGACAACATTCACACCTTCCTCCCTTACCTGGCCTTGGACACGGCTGTCCGACCTCCGGCCCCCATAACCAGCAATTCAGCCCCACTAGCGCGGACTGCAGAGGGTGAACATGAAACCCCCAGGGGTGTTTTGTATAAATATGTAATATACATCCCCTCCTGTAACACTGCCAATCTTCTAGCGCCACCCACCCTTCACATTCCACCAAATTTAATCCTCAATTTTACATACAGCCAGCTCATTAAGAAATATGCAGAATCCATTTCTCTTCTTTTGCGTCTCAAAAGCCGTCAAGATGATGCACAATGTGGTCCGTCCTGTCCCTATCGCTGTTCTTGTTTCCACCTTCAGGCTCCAAGGAGGTGGGCTGATGTACCGTATTTTTCGCTCTATAAGACGCACCAGACTACAAGACGCCCTGGGTTCAGTCCTTTCTAATGACTTTATGGCTGCAACATAAGAGGTCTTTTGGACATTGTCAAAGATATGTGGGAAGTATTATTATTACCGTATTTTTCGCTCTATAAGACGCACCAGACCACAAGATGCACCTAGTGTTTGGAAGAGGAAAACAAGAAAAAAAAAATCTGAATCTCAGAAGCCAGAACAGCAAGAGGGATCGCTGCGCAGTGAAAGCAGAAATCCCTCTTGCTGTTCTGGCTTCTGGGCTAGCTGCGCAGCCTGCATTCACTCCATAAGACGCACACACATTTCCCCTTACTTTTTAGGAGGGAAAAAGTGAGTCTTATAGAGCAACAAATACATTAATCTCCACAAAATCCTGGTCTCCTCTCCTTCCTCCCCCCTAAACTCATAAATCTTCCTGCTTAGCAGACAGTCGATCCAGTTGTCACCCCTCTTTTCTTCTTTACTGCTTTTATTTCTCATAAGGAAGTCCCAAGGGGGGGTCAAAATCCCTCAAAGTCCCTCAAGGTTGTTGCTCTCCATCTTCTTTCAGGCAAAGTCCTGACTTCTAAAACTAATCCATGGCAAAGAGGCAAATTTAAAGTCCGCTCCTCCCGAAATCTTTGCATTCCTTGCTTCAGGGGAAGGGAGATGACGCAGATCCCGAAAAAGCCCCATAACTTAAAAGATTCCCTCCCCTCCTTGCCCCGTTCAAGCAAAGCAGAAATCAGCATCTTTCCAAAGAGATGCTTTTCTCCTGCATCAGAAGTCAGGATCTCTTCCACGGGGGCGTGTGCCTCTTCGCTTGCCAATTGTGTCCCCATTCAAACCTGTTCCCCGCCCTCCCCACGGGAGTTGGCCAGGGCTGTTCGGGGACAGTTTGAAATCCTTTGCTGAAGGAGGCAGGCAGCTTTCTGGGCCAGCGAATGGCCTGAGGGCGCAAGGAAGGCGCTTGCTCTGCGCCCGAGGACACCTGGCTGGCAGTCAGAAGGACAAAAGCCACAGGGGGAGCGGCTGCTTCCAAGCCTGGGACTGGGGGAGAACCTCGCCTCTGCTTCGTCTGGGAGACAGGGATTTCCATCCCGGCTCACAACCCCCCCCCAAAAATAAATTACCGGGCGAGCGCGGGTCGTGCCCTTTCGATACGCTCGGAAGGTTAGGGGAGACCTGCCCCTTTCCCCCCATAGACCTCCGCCTGGGACCCCCAAAGGGCGACTTGCTGGGTTCGCTGCCCCCTGGCGTTTTATTTTGGATCGCTTTGTTTGATGTTTCAATAAAGGCGGTAAATTCTTTTGATGTTATTATGGGTGTGAAATATGTAGGCAGGGGTGTTTATTGGGTTGTATTTGTTTTTATTTGACTATGTGTTTTGTGTTTTTATATAGTAATTTCATCCTGTGAACCCCCATATTTAATGAACAAATAAATGGATAAAACGAAATGAATTCCCCCCTCTCTCTGCCGATCAAGAGGCAGCTCCGTCCCCGACACCCATCTGGAAAGAGGCAGGGAGGGGCATTGCGGGGGGAGAGTGGCCCTTGGGGGTCTCCCTTGGTGGCCATGTTGGTACTGTCGCCGGAAAACCCCCCCTTCATTACATTGTAATGCACAAGCACCACACACACCTCCCATCCCCCCGAACCGGGCAATGCCCCTTCTAGAGGGGCATCACCTCAACAGATGACAGCCTTCCGTAAATAAGGAAGCGGTGATTTCCTTTAAAACGCCTTTATTTCTATATATTTTCTCCTACGTCCCGCTTTGCCCTATCTTTATTGTGAGTAGACCGGGCGCCTGAACTCCAGGTCAGCCGGCAGCCGTTTCAGCCAATCAGTGTTACCGAACAGCGCCCCTTGTGGCGGCCACGCTGGTACTGCAGGCAGCAGGCCCTCGCTTCTCTGTCTTTGACAGCTTCCTAATACAAAGTTTCCGGGTTCAATTGACCGTGACTGATTTAATCAAAATGTTGCAACCACTTCCTGAGAGGTGAAAGTACTTTGAACTTCAACGGCAGTATTCTTCATAAATTCACCATAAATCAACCATACGTCGGATTTTCACCGGACCACTTTTATTCTACTCCATATTACAAGGACTGTCAATGGGGGGTGGCTTGTTGTCAGTCAGCCATAATCCCTTGACCGAGCAGGCACGTACTCTGCAGCCCTTCCCCTGTTGACTCAGCAACCTTGATAGTCGTCTTGATGGGCTCAGACGAAGGACTATCAAAGACACAATGAACTGCATATGCTAGTGTATTCAGCACGGACTATGACAAAGGAACTGTGACCGGAGACCCCTCAGGGGCAGGAAACTGCGCCTTTCCCTTTGTTCTCCGGAAAGGCTTATGGTGAGGAAGGGAGGGGACCCCGCCAGGTGTCAGGATACTCGGATTACCTGCGCGACCCCTCCTCTGACTCCTCCTGTTCTTAATGTAGTCATGATGTAAATATGATGTATTTCTAGGGTTGTAACTTAGGGGATTAGGAGCTAATAAAAGTTGGGGTCTTCTTTTGTTCGGGGCTTCCATCTTGCTTCACCTCGTGGGCGGTGGGAGTCCTGTCGCGACAGTCTTTTTCTTCAATAAAGACCAAGCCTACTGGCTGCTGATTTGCTTCCAATTGCTCTGGTTGGTGTCTTTGTTTTTTTGTCCAAGGGAGCCCTCAGATTTTCCGTTAACAGTTTGGCGACCGTGCTCAGGGACACTTGGTTCTCCTGTAGAGGTGAGGAGGGAGAAAAGAGGGGATCGGGCGCCACTGGGCAGCCTTAGCCCAGGGATCTTTTCTCCTCTCCCTGCCTCCCCTTTGCGGGCGGTAATCAACCGTCACCGAAAGCTCAACCAGGGGAAGCAAAGGCAAGGTCAAGCCGGCTAAGGGGAAAGATCCCGGGATCTTCGAGGGACATCTACGAATGTGAGTATGGTTTGAAGAAAATACATTGGGAGGGGGGTGGAAAGCAACGTCCCCACGACAGCTGGACCTTTTCTTCCTTCTATCTCTGGCGTTACCTCTCGGAGTCGTCCAGGAACGTCCTAAACTTTCTCTTTCTCTCCCCCTATTTCCCTTTCGGAGCTGGGCCGGGGAAATTGTGGAACCTTTGTTGTATTCCAACGTTACCTCTCGGAGTCGTCCAGGAACGTCCTAAACTTTCTCTTTCTCTCCCCCTATTTCCCTTTCGGAGCTGGGCCGGGGAAATTGTGGAACCTTTGCTGCTTTCCGACGTTACCTCTCGGAGTCGTCCAGGAATGTCCTAAAATCTCTCCTTTTCTCCCCCGTTTTCCCTTTCGGAGCTGGGCCAAGGAAAACGCGGTACTTTGCTATTTCTCTGACGTCCTCCCTCGGAGTCGTCCGGAGGCGTCCATCCAAAACCTCCCTCTCTCCTTTTCTCCCCGTTTTTCCCTTTCGGAGTGTGGCCGGGGAAAAGCGCGGTACTTTGCCATTTCTCTGACGTCCTCCCTCGGAGTCATCCGGAGGCGTCCATCCAAAATCTCTCCTGCTCTCTCTCTCTCTCTCTCTCTCCCCTACTTACGCAAATGAAGCCGCCCCTCCTGCTCGGCGACCCTTGTTGGGGATGACCCGGGTACGTGAGAACGCAAGGTCATTTGCTTCCTTTCAAAACTTTGTTTTTTTCTCGGACCTCGATCTGGCACTGCATTGCGCAGGCGTCCAGTAGGGAGCCCGATTTTAGTCTAAAGGCTAGGCAGGAGGCTGTCGTGGAGAGCAGAACGGGAGGTACACAAATTGGGGCCCCACACTAGGGTTAGTCCTGTAAACAGCGCTGAGGCAAAGGAATACTGGATCCATGGTTAGAGTTTTGGGCGAGGAGACCCGTGGTTAGAGTTTCGGGCGAGGAGACCCGTGGTTGGAGTTTCGGGTGAGGAGACCCGTGGTTAGAGTTTCGGGCGAGGAGACCCGTAGTTAGAGTTTCAAGTTCATGTCTGAGATTTTTACAGATAGGTAGAAATTGAGTCAGTCAAGGATACTTCAAGTACTGAAAGGATATTTTCTCTTTTTCCCCTGCCCCTCCTTTTTTCCCCCCTTTTCATCGCCCCTTCTCCCCTTGTGTGTGTGCCCACTCTTTCTGTCCTTAGTGTACTGCAAAGAATGGGGGCCCATGCTTCCAAGCATTCAGGCTGGACTCCTCCAGGCGATAAGGCTTCCGCGGAGCCTTTCCGCCCGAGAGAGGACTCTGATACCCCTCTTCAATTTGTTCTCTTAAACTGGAAAGAGTTGAGAGGGAGGAAAGGACTCTCAAAGTCCAAACTAAGGGACCTTTGCAACATCTCGTGGGTCGCTTTTACCCACCACCTAGAGCCGGCCTCGCGATGGCCACCCCACGGTTCCTTTAATCTTGTGAAGATGCAAGCACTTAAGTCGTATCTGGCAGATGAGAAACCCCGACAACTGTACTATCTCAATGCCTTCGTTGAAGCCCGTGAATTGTTTCAACGGCAACAAACCCAAATCGTTCGGCAAATGGCTGTTTTAAAAACGACCAGGCCTCCCCCATATGATGAAATTAGAACCCAGGAGGAACAATTGGATAGAACCCTCGTCTCTTTCAACTATCCCGAACCACAAGCCCCCCAACCGCCTGAATCCAGGGCAGGAGACAGGACAGGAGTCGGTGGGGGAGGTGGCGCGGGACCCAGGGAAAACGTAACTAATCCTCCCGCCGCTGCCCCTTCTCGAGGCGCATCAAGTACCTCGCCGCCTAACCCTTCCACAAGTGCGTCCAATATAGAAAACCAAGTAGATTCGGACCTAGGACCCCCACTTAACGGACAACTTCTCAACGGAGAAAGAGAGGGACCCGTCTCCAGTAGAACCCGGAATAGGGATAATCTGCCGAACGGAGAAGTAGAGGGAGCTTTCCCCCTAAGAGCATTACCTATACCCCCAACCAGGGCAGGAGACCCACCCCGCATGGTCTTTACTCACCAACCCTTCCTCACCTCGGACTTAATGAACTGGTCCGACAAGATGCCCTCCCTACGGGATGACCCCGACAAATGTCACCGCCAGGTGGCCACCATCTTCTCCACCCACAACCCAACGTGGGCGGATGTACATATGTTACTTGGGGCTCTTTTTAATGAGGCAGAAAAGAGGGAAATACTGGCAAAGGCAGGAGAAGCTTTAGCTCAGGAAGGCTACCAACCGAACCGACCTGCCTCGATGGCCCCCCTGACCGCCCAGACACTACTTAATGACCCCGACTGGGACTATAACACTGAAAATGGCATATGGGGTTTAAAATTTTTTAAGAAAGGCATCCTAGATGGTATCAAAGCTGCGGGACAGCGAACCGTGAACTGGACCAAAGTCCAAGCCGTCCTTCAAGGACCTGATGAACATCCATCCGACTACTACTCAAGGCTAGTCTCAGCCATTAAAACCTGGGGGGAATAGATCCGGAGAGCCCCCAGCACGAAGTAATAGTCAAAGGATTTTTCAAAGATCAAGCTACACCCGACATTCGGAAAGCATTGAACTCACACCTAGGGTATGATGGAAAAACCATAAACGAAATCCTTTCCATCGCTAAATCCGTTTTCAACACAAGGGATGAACGGAAAAGAAAAGACCAAAAGCCCGATCTCCCACGGGTGTTAGCCTATGCGGCTGGGGTTCCTACCCCCAAAGAAAAATTTAAGCCATGGGGACCTGAACTACTAGATGACCGCGTTTGTTACAACTGTGATGAAGTGGGACATATAAGAAGAAATTGCCCCCTTCTGACAGGATCCAAAAGGACCGAATATAGAAATCCAAGACCGTACAGATCAGACTACAGGGAAACCACCCACCCCAGATATAGGGAGTCTACCACCCCATACCGACCTAATCAATCCCCAACCGGAACGCAACCCTACGCAGAACCCCCTCCTCCACAACCGCGACCACGAAATCAACCCCACGAAGCTACCAACCCCTTTAAACAGGGAGGTCGCCCCACAAACCCAACTCATGAGATGGTAATGGAGGAATATCAGGCACATTGACAATTAGAAGCAGATCCCGCCTCCTTCTCTTTCCTCTGCCCAGTTTTGCAACTATCCTCCTCCGATCCTATATGCACTATGCAAATTGACGGCCTGTCCTATGATTGTCTCCTAGACACTGGGGCCACCTACTCCACCCTTACGAATAGCCATTTAGCACCGGGGGACGAAACCAGAACCGTAATGGGGCTTGATGGAATCCCCCGAAATTGCCCCCTTTCCAAACCCGCGAGGGTCTCCGTTGGACCTCTATCAGTTAAACATACCTTTCTACTAACTTCCAGTCCAGTTAACCTCCTGGGGAGGGATCTGCTATGTAAACTGAACGCTACTATACAATGCGGCCAAGAAGGGATTTACTTGCACATGCCAAACGACTCCATCTTCAACTTCCAAGGGGTTCTTCAAGAGGCTAACAACAAAATCACTGACCTTCCTCCCGAGCTTCTTAATAGTGTTCCATCTTGGTTATGGGGAACCGAATCAACATCCGTTGGACTCCTAAAGTCGGCAACCCCAGTAAAAGTTAACTACAGGAAGGACCTACCATTCCCCTGTACAAAACAATACCCCTTGCCTCCCGAAGCAATCGAAGGACTAACCCCAATGATTGATGAATTTCTGAAGATGGGAATTCTAGTTCCCTGTGCCTCGCCGTGTAATACCCCGCTTCTCCTTGTCAAGAAGCCTAATACTAACCCTGTCAAATGGCGTCTCGTCCAAGACCTTCGACTCGTCAATTCCTTTGTTATCCCCAGACACGCTGTTGTAGCCAATCCCCACCACCTTCTGAGCACGATCCCGGAGGGAACTGTAGTTTACTCCGTCATAGACCTATGTTCCGCCTTCTTTAGCATTCCCGTGGACCCAGAAAGCCAATTCCTCTTTGCCTTTACCTGGCAAACCTGTCAGTTGACGTGGACCCGGTTACCCCAGGGATATGTGGAGTCTCCGGCAATCTTCTCTTCCATATTACACCAAGACTTATTAGACGTGAACCTTCCAGGAGGCTCCGCCCTCAGGCTCTATGTGGATGACATTTTACTTTGTGGGCGGGATTTGGAATCCTGTAAATCAGACACTATAGCCCTCCTGACAATACTGGCACACAAGGGACACAAAGTATCCCCCAAAAAGATACAGTACTGCCAAAAGGAAGTGAAATATCTTGGCCACATCCTTGGAGAAGGCACCCGTGCCCTCGCCACAGATAGGATTGAAGCCATAACGAAGCTGCCCCTCCCTAAGACTAAGAGGCAGCTCAGGGGTTTCATCGGGATGAGTGGGTTTTGCCGAGCATGGATCCCCCGCTACGGAGAATTCACTCGCCCCCTCACCGCAATGACACATGACAATGCCCCAGACCACTTACAATGGACTGCAGAGGCTCTCGAAGCCTTTGAATCTATCAAACGGGAGCTGAGGTCTTCACCTGCCCTCGGACTCCCCGACTATAGACTACCTTTCTCTTTATTCGTCCATGAAAATAAAGGAGTCGCCTCGGGTGTCCTTACGCAACCTTTTCAGGGAAGAAACAGGCCCGTCGCTTACTACAGCCTTCAACTGGACACTACCGTAATGGGAAATGTGGGGTGCCTTAGAGCAGTGGCAGCTGCAGCACTACTCCTAGAAAAGGCGCAGGAGACCGTCTTGGGACATGAACTAACCGTAAATGTTCCCCATGCTGTGGCCACCCTCCTCAGCTTGCAAGGATGTCAGCGCTTCACGATCCAAAGACTGAATAGATACGAAGCCATCCTCCTCAGTCCGTCTAATGTTACCATAAAAAGAGTAAACTCCCTCAATCCGGCAACCCTCCTACCCCTCCCTGACGATGGTACCCCGCACCACGACTGTTCCCAGGTGGTCTGACACGCCGAAAAACCACGTGAGGACCTCGACTATCTTCCCTTAAGTAACCCCGACCTTATATTGTACACCGACGGGAGCTCAAAAATTGTGGGAGGGGAGCAGAAAAGCGGATATGCAGTTGTTAGCGACACTGACGTCCTGGAAGCACGCCCTGTCCATGCTAGGTTTAGCGCACAGGCTGCAGAACTTATTGCCTTGATCCGAGCCTGCGAATTAGGAGCAGGACAGAGGGTCACTATTTACACAGATTCTAAATATTGCTTTGGGTTAGTTCATGCCACCGGACAAATCTGGCTACAGAGGGGTTTTCTGACCGCTGCAGGCACCCAAATAGCCCACGCACCTCTAGTACAACGTCTTATGGATTCCATACATCTTCCCGAAGAAATAGCAGTAGTCCATTGTAAAGCCCATACCAGAGGAAAAGACCCAGTATCAATGGGGAACCGCTGTGCTGACCGCGTGGCACAAGAAGCAGCCCTCCAACCACTGTCAGTAGATGGTGAATTCCAGGGACCCCAGGTTCTGTCGGACGTAGACTTTAACCTAATGTATAAAACCGCCACCCCAGAGGAAATAAAGGGATGGGAAGAGCAGGGAGCTCTCTTTAGCAACGGCATATGGTACCTCCCTGACAAGAGACTCATAATGCCCAGGCTCTGGGTACCCAAACACATAAGAATCCTACATCAGTGTACTCATTGGGGAAGGGACAAGCTCGTAGATTTTGTCCAACGCTGCTGGTACGCTCCAGGACTGGCTCTGGCCGCAAAAGCAGCAGTAAAGAATTGTCACACCTGTCAAACCTTTAATCCAAAGCATACTGCCAGATGTCCACCAGGAGCCAGACCGTGGGCTTTTGTCCCCTTCGAAAGTCTCCAACTCGACTTTATAGATTTACCCCTTGTCAGGGCTACAAGCATGCCCTTGTCATTATTGACCAATTAACCGGATGGGTAGAATGTCTCCTGACTCGCCGAGCTACTGCCCAAATGGTCGCAAAGACTCTACTGCACGAAATAATACCACGTTTCGGGGTTCCGAGACACATAGACAGCGACAGGGGCTCACACTTCACTTCTGACGTAGTTCAGCAAGTCGCTAAAGCCCTAGGAATCAAATGGAGGTTGCATACCCCATACCACCCCCCTTCCTCAGGGCAAGTTGAACGAATGAATCAGCAGTTAAAGTCTCAGCTAGGAAAGCTCTGCAGGGACTCTGGAATTAAGTGGGTCAATGCCCTCCCCTTGGTCTTACACAATCTCAGAGCATGCCCGCGTGGGAATCTGAACTTGTCTCCTTACGAACTACTTTTCGGAAGACCCTCCCCGTATATAGCACGCAATTTCCCCCATCCGAACTAGAAGTAGCCGAGTCTGAATTGACCAAATATATAATGCAGCTCCAGAAGCAACTCATTGTTCTCCACAGATATGCAGCAGCGAGCCAGAACATACCCCTCGACGAGAACATCCATCCGTTCCGACCAGGAGACTGGATATTGGCAAAGGCTTACCAGAAAGTACCCCTACAACCTACCTGGGAAGGACCTTACCAGGTCCTTCTCACAACCCCCACCTCCGTCAAAGTAGCGGAGAAGTCGGCCTGGCTGCATCACACCCGCTGCAAACCTGCTTCACCACCTGATCCTACCGACGACGACGCACCCTACTCCACTCCCCCACAACCGGCAGAGGACGACGCCGACATAGAGGTAACCCAACAGACTGGACCAGATCGGGGCACGAATCGGGCCCAACAGACCGGACCAGATCGGGGCACGAATCGGGCCCAACAGACCGGACCAGATCGGGGCACGCATAAAGCCCTACAGACCGGACCTGCTTCAACGTCAGCGCCGACCCATTGGACCTCCGAAATCGTCCCAACAACGGGCAACCAAGAGCACCCACCGATCCGCCTCCGACTCCGAAAGACATCACAACGCGCCGTTTGACAGCTTGCCATTTGACAGCTCGTGTTTGACAGCTCGCGTCTGACAGCTCGCCTTTGACAGCTCGCCGTTTGACAGCTCGCCTTTGACAGCTCGCCGTTTGACAGCTCGCGTCTGACAGCTCGCCTTTGACAGCTCGCCATTTTGACAGCTCGCCTTTGACAGCTCGCCTTTGACAGCTCGCCGTTTTGACAGCTCGCCGTTTTGACAGCTCGTCTTTGACAGCTCGCCTCCCCTCATCATGCTTCCCATAAAATGCATCATGCCTGCTTTCTCCATCCTCCTCATGTTCCCCATTCTTACCGCAACATCCACTGCCATGGACACGCATGCTTCATGCCCAGGAATACAAATCGAACACCAATACCTGCATTTCGGAATTGTGGACATGGTAAAAAGAGGAACCTTAGACCGCCTCGGAGACTTTGACTTCTGCATACCAGAGACCCGTGTCCTCCTCCGCCATTCCATACTGCCTACCATGACCACACACCAGACTTGGGAACTGTTTATCCGCTCTTCAAATTACACCCTACTCGGCAAGCTTATACTCAGCAGAGATGGTCCCTGGAACCGAGCCCGCTGTATAAATGGTTCCTATACACTATTCTCTGACGGTGTACCCCAACAACCACTGAACTGGACAAATTTAGATAATGGTGGCGGCGAATCAGTTTACACTGACCATAATCATCCGACCAACCGTATAATCCACGGGTTTTACTGCCAGAGAGTAGACACCGCACCCCGCCCAACCACCCTACAAGGAGTTTGCCTCCGAAGGTACTGCTGTGTCTGGGACATTGGCCTTGCTTCTACTTGGGACGGCAGAGCATACCTTGAGGGATGGTATCACTCCACCACACCACCAACGCAGTGGGATACCTCCGGCCCTCAAAGATGTGGCGGTGTAGCTACAAATCTCACCTACCTACTTCGACAAGACCCTCTCCACCCCGACAAAGGGGGGAACTGTCTATATCTCAAACTCCAACCAATAGCGACCTATTGTCCACCTGGCATTCCAACACCTATGTGAAACTAGTCTCTGAAATCGCAAAGCAAACTACCACTGACAACTGCTGGATCTGTGCCAACGCTCCTGCCCACCTCCACAGCGGCATACCATTCCTTGGAGTACCCCTCACCTTACAACATCTTTCCGCCGATGTACGGTCCTGGAACTTGACTGCTGTAAATTTAACTCACCAGTACATCTACCTCACTGGACCCACGAAGGTGACCTTTGCCGGAAGTTTAGCGGCAATGACAGGATGATTGGAGAAAGTACTTGTAAGTACCTCATTGATATTCCCCTAATCGGTAGAATCACTGTGTGGCGACAGGGCATCCCCTCCACCCATCCAGATCTGTTGTCAGCCTGGAAACAAGTCATGGATTTACCTGTTTTTTTCGTACCTTTCTCACAGGCCGTATAGACTCCTGCCTACAGGGACTGTTTTGGGTGTGTGGTCACCGCGGCTATGTATGGGCTAGTCCCCACTCCCGAGGCACCTGCTACCTTGGACTTATCTTGCCTGGGATCAGGGTCACCCCAGACCTTCCCCTTGGGAGGAGGCGCAACAAGAGAGCTAAGGACCTGTCGGAACTCTCCGATGTGTCAGCCAACGGGGAAACCTATGGACGGGCCCTTTTCCCCGCCTACGGAGCAGGCTCCAACCACGTTGACATCCTTAAACTAACAGACATTTTATTAACCTTTATGGAAGAATCCAACGCTGCAACCCAGTCCATCTTAACAGAGCTGACTGAGGTCAGACAGATGGCGATCCAGAACCGCCTTGCTTTGGACTATATTCTAGCTTCAACCGGAGGAGTATGTGCACTCGTGGGAACTGAGTGCTGCACATACGTCTCCGACCAGACCCTGAACATTATGGGTCATCTCAACAACATCCATAAACTGACCAACGACCTTAGAAATATCCAACATGAAGGTCTGTCTGATACCCAACTTTGGGGCTGGTTACCAGGCGCCACGTGGATAAAACAGCTCCTCGGAAATGGCCTCCTTATTCTAATTGCCGTAGCCATTTGTGTCGCTTTCTTCTGTTGCGCCATCCATTGCTTTCCACTTTGCTGTCAAACGTGCGAATACTGCGTCCCGTCTCCCCACTCCAGCACCGCTGTTTCTCAGAGGATGATCCCAGCGGGAACCCCTTCGACTTTCATCGAGATGGGACCCCAAGGAGCCCAGCACAACTCGGATCCTAGGTATGGCATGTCAGACTTTTATTAAGCTTGTGCGGAGAGAAGGATTGCACGGTGTCCACCTTCGCAATCTTATCTCCGAAGGGGGGAACTGTCGCCGGAAGACCTCCCCCCCCTTCATTACATTGTAATGCACAAGCACCACACACACCTCCCATCCCCCCGAACCGGGCGATGCCCCTTCTAGAGGGGCATCACCTCAACAGATGACAGCCTTCCGTAAATAAGGAAGCGGTGATTTCCTTTAAAACGCCTTTATTTCTATATATTTTCTCCTACGTCCCGCTTTGCCCTATCTTTATTGTGAGTAGACCGGGCGCCTGAACTCCAGGTCAGCCGGCAGCCGTTTCAGCCAATCAGTGTTACCGAACAGCGCCCCTTGTGGCGGCCACGCTGGTACTGCAGGCAGCAGGCCCTCGCTTCTCTGTCTTTGACAGCTTCCTAATACAAAGTTTCCGGGTTCAATTGACCGTGACTGATTTAATCAAAATGTTGCAACCACTTCCTGAGAGGTGAAAGTACTTGAACTTCGGCGGCAGTATTCTTCATAAATTCACCATAAATCAACCGTACGTCGGATTTTCATCGGACCACTTTTATTCTACTCCATATTACAAGGACTGTCAATGGGGGGTGGCTTGTTGTCAGTCAGCCATAATCCCTTGACCGAGCAGGCACGTACTCCGCAGCCCTTCCCCTGTTGACTCAGCAACCTTGATAGTCGTCTTGATGGGCTCAGACGAAGGACTATCAAAGACACAATGAACTGCATATGCTAGTGTATTCAGCACGGACTATGACAAAGGAACTGTGACCGGAGACCCCTCAGGGGGCAGGAAACTGCGCCTTTCCCTTTGTTCTCCGGAAAGGCTTATGGTGAGGAAGGGAGGGGGACCCCCGCCAGGTGTCAGGATACTCGGATTACCTGCGCGACCCCTCCTCTGACTCCTCCTGTTCTTAATGTAGTCATGATGTAAATATGATGTATTTCTAGGGGTGTAACTTAGGGGATTAGGAGCTAATAAAAGTTGGGGTCTTCTTTTGTTCGGGGCTTCCATCTTGCTTCACCTCGTGGGCGGTGGGAGTCCTGTCGCGACAGTCTTTTCTTCAATAAAGACCAAGCCTACTGGCTGCTGATTTGCTTCCAATTGCTCTGGTTGGTGTCTTTGTTTTTTGTCCAAGGGAGCCCTCAGATTTTCCGTTAACAGTACCCCCACCCCTTATTCAGAGGGATGGAATACAGAGCAGGGGAAGGGTCCGCATCCCCCTCTGAGTCTCTCACCCCCAGTTTCTCCAGAGTAGGAAGAACAGAGAGGGCAACAGACCAGGGTCAAACACCAAGAAATGGGTGGGGAGACAACCAAGGAGACCGGGGGGGGGGCCCTGCGAGCATGGGGGGGGGGGGACCTTGCCAGAAATTTTGAGGATAAAGGATTTGGGGACACAGCAGGGGTCTCTGGCTCTGAAAAGCACTGCAGCTTGGGTGGGGGCAAAATGCCATAGCGCCCTAAAACCCCCCACTGGTGCTGAATGATTCCTCTTGAGTGACAGAGAACACCCCCCTTTCCACGCCACCCCCCAACTAACTCCCCACCCCCAGGCCTGTCCCCTCCCTCCGTCCCAGAGAAGAAGACACAGGAAGCCAGGTCAGATTGCAGAGGGAGGATTTATTAGAGGGTCAAGCGTCACATGGGGGCTGGAAGGGGTGGCCCCACCAAACCTGGTGGGTGGCGAGAGCAGAAGGAGGCGGCCGCTTCTCCCTGGGGTCAGATTGCAGAGGGAGGATTTATTAGAGGGTCAAGCGTCTCAGTGGGACCGGCAGGCCAGCGCATGAGCCACCACCCTGACAAGCTTGTGGAAGGCATGGTGGTAAGCAGGGGTGAATTCCTGGCCTAAGGGGGGGGGGGGTGGCCGATGAGGACTTCGACAGGAGCTGGAAGAGAAAAGAGGGGTGACTCCTTCTGCCAGGGGCAGATCCCACAGCAGATTCAACAGATTGAGGCTGAATCCTGACAAGACAAAAGTACTGTTTTGGGAGGACAGGAGGCAGGCAGGTGTGGGGGACTCCCTGGTCCTAAACGGGGTAACTGTGCCCCTGAAGGACCAGGTGCACAGCCTGGGAGTCATTTTGACCACCATTAGTGACAGAGCACTGGGCTAAATGGATCTTGGTCTAATCTGACAGGGCAGTTTCAAATTTTCCAGGAACTCGCCCTAAAGCCCTGCCAGAGGTATCTATTTCTCTGTGATGCGAGTTACCTGTGAGTAAAAAGGTAAAGGTAAAGTGACCCCTGACCATTAGGTCCAGTCGTGGATGACTCTGGGGTTGCGGCGCTCATCTCCCTTTATTGGCCGAGGCAGCTGACATACAGCTTCCGGGTCATGTGGCCAGCATGACTAAGCCACTTCTGGTGAACCAGAGCTGCGCACGGAAACACTGTTTACCTTCCCGCCGGAGCGGTACCTATTTATCTACTTGCACTTTGACATGATTTTGAACTGCTGGGTTGGCAGGAGCAGGGACCGAGCAATGGCAGTTCACCCCGTCGCGGCGATTTGAACCGCCGACCTCCTGATCCGCAAGTCCTAGGCTCTGTGGTTTGACCCACAGCACCACCCGTATCCCAGTACCTGTGAGTAAGACCCATCAAATTCAAGAAGACACCCTTCTAGCTAGACACGCCGACAACTGCGCTGTTACTTGTTGCCCTTAAATCCCATATATATTGGCCATGATTAACTTGATCTTGATGAGTTCTAAGCTCAACAAACTTAGTTTGGATTCCATTGTATGTTCTTATCTGTCAAATGGGAATAATAGGGACTTCCTTTGAAGGACTGTGCTAGATTATTCATTGCTAACCATCAGGCAGCATTTCTGGGCTTCTCAGAGGTGCCTAATCCATTGCCCCGTTATGCTCCTGATGAGCTTTGCAAGTTGCAGCGCCATTAAGAAAGGCCATGCTAGTCCGCCATGACAAGTGCTGCTAGAGAAAGCAGCGATGGAAGGGGTGTCCTTTGCGGAGGATTCACCCAGCACACGCTTGAGCTCATGGGGAAAGAACACATCCCCCCCAGACCGTGGCTGAATTCAGTCCCAACAACCCAAAGGACAGGCTGTCCCCCAGACGGCACCCAGCGGACAACTGAGCAGATCTCCCACTGAAGATTCATCCTTGCTACCAACCTTGGGGCGTGTAGTTGTGTAAAAGTGTCAGCAGTCTCTTAACAGAAATATAAACTCAATAAACCTACGGCACCCAAAGTTATTTAGTGCAAGGAGCAGAAGTGATTTGCAGGTGATTTAAATTTCTGGTGTTGATGCACCATAATTCCTTAGGAAAAGCAAATCAAAACATTAGTGGAGTAACTGGTGCATTGCAAAGCATAAAAGACCCTCAACGTTGATATGAAAGGCACTTGAGTTGGGTTTCTATGTCCTGTTGCTGCCTGGTTTTTTTGACTGACCAGTTGCCAGATGCAGGGCTGGGGAAAGTTCTGAACAAAACCAAACCAGAAACACTTTCCTGTGAGAAAACAGCACCAAAGGTCTTGTGCATGATCAGGGCCTGAAAGCTGCCCGTCAATCAGCTGTCTTCCTCTTTTGGCAGAGGGAATTGCTAGCCTGATGGACGGCCCTCTTATCATCAGAGAAATGCTGGAGGATATGTGATCCTGGCTGCTGAAGATGGCTGGAAGGTCGTTTGTCCCGTCAGCTGGATGAGCTGATCTGCAGAGCCAAGAGGGCTCTCTGGGCCATCTATAACTGAGGATCTGGGCTTGCGTTCCCCAACTGAAGCGGAAGGTAAGCCAGAGCAGTTGCTCTTTTGCTCAGCCTGTTAGATATATCAACAGTCGGTCTATGAGCGTTTAGGAAAAGATGCTGCGATTACTGAGACCCAGCATAGGTCTCAGTACAAAAGTACTGTTTTGGGGGGACAGGAGGCAGGCGGGTGTGGGGACTCCCTGGTCCTAAACGGGGTAACTGTGCCCCTGAAGGATCAGGGGCACAGCCTGGGAGTCATTTTGGACTCACATCTCTCCATGGAGGCACAGGTCATTTCTGTGTCCAGGGCAGCTGTCTCCCAGCTCCATCTGGTCCACAGGATGAGACCCCACCCGCCCTCAGCTTGTCTCGCCAGAGTGGTGCATGCTCTGGCTATCTCCCACTTGGACTACTGCAATGCACTCTATGTGGCACTACCTTTGAAAGCGACCCTTTTGGTGGTTCCCTCCCTGTGAGAGGTGAGGTTACAGAGAAGCAGGCAGAGGGCCTTCTCGGTTGTGGCCCCTGCCCTGTGGAATGCCCTCCCACCAGATGTCAAGGAAATGAAAAACTAACTGAAATCTGAATGCAACCCTGTAACAGGAAATGTCTAATGTCTAACCATGTTTTATGTCCTGTAAGCCACCCGGAGTGACACACACACACACACACACACACACACACACACCACCCCCCAGCCCACCCCCAGGCAGCCCCTTGGGGCGGGGGAGCAGCCTCACCCTGACGTTGAGGGGGTCCACGTGGAGCTTGTCGCAGAGCAGTTCACGCAGCTCGGAAAAAGCCTCCTTGACCTCGTGCAAGAAGGGCTGGAGAGGTTCCTAATGAGGGGGCAGGGTCAGAGAGGTCCCCGAAGTTACGGAACAAACGCCGGGTCCAGGGGAAGACGATCAACAAGCTGGAGAGAAGGAAGGAAGGAAGGAAGGAGGAAGGAAGGAAGGAAGGAAGGAAGGAAGGAAGGAAGGAAGGAAGGAAGGAAGGAAGGATAAAAAGAGAGGCATGGATGGTTATTATCCAGGTGGAAAGAGGAGTTTCTGCCCAACCTGCCTAGAGAGGCAACCAGCGCCTGGCCTTACCTTTCAAGGTCCCCACCCAAGGGGGCCACGTCGACTGTCATCATGACGGTTTCCATGATGGCTGGCCGTGGGCTGGGAGCTTCTCTCGGCTGCTGGAGAAAACCTTCTGGGCTGAGCTGGAGCTTCTTCCAGGGCTGAAGCCTTTTATACCCTGCGCCAAAGCTCCTCCTCCAGGATTTACAGAAGCTGTCCTGGTTTCTGATTTGATCAAAGAATGCGATTTTCCTTTAGACATGCCTATTTTCCTCTGAGAAATCCTGGAGGGTATGGAGTAATGCCACCCCTGTGCTAAGGAGACAAGCAAGTATAAAGGCTTTGGAAGACATCTGAAGGCAGCCCCAAAGGAGCGTCTCCACCCCCATCGCTTGGCCTGGACACTGAGGTCCTCCTCCTCCGGTGATTCAGCTACAGGGTACCAGGCAAAGGGCCTTCTTAGCAGTGGCTCCCTCCCTGTGGAAAGACATCAGATGTCAATCTGGGTGGCCTGAAAGACGGACTAGACACATTCATGGAGGAGAAGCTCTAATAGCTCCTAGTCCGGCTGGCTCTGCTCTCCCTCCACCATCAGAGGCAGCGATGCTTCTGAATCCCATGGGTGTATTTGCCTTGACTGATTCAGGGGACATTTCAAGGGGCACAGAATCATCTTTCTCCTGAGAAATGCCTGCATGTGACCTCAACTTTTCTGGTTGTATGACTTTGGGTCTCATTAGAAGTCCTCAGTTCTTTCTTTGCTCCTTCCCCCTTTTGTACACCTGTTCTGCTTCAAAGCCCATATTTCGAACAAAGCTTTTGTTCAGGGATGGGGAACCAGAGGTCTTCTGAATGTGGTCTGACTCTGCTTCCCATCCCCACTGCCAGCTGACAGTCCATAGGCTCTCAATCCCTGCCCTTGTTTAACCTCCCTGTCTTCCTACCCCTGCCGCTTCCAACTCTCCCTCTGCTGTTCTCTCCCACGCTGTCAAACCTGAATGTGAGCTCCCTGGGACAGAGTCCTGTCCTACATTCCAAGGGCCCTCAATTGATACATGGTGAAGTAATAATCATCATCTGTAAGTGCAATTAATTATCCTCAATGGGCTCAATTATCCTCTAGATACAAGCCATTGCATCTCTGTTTGCAATGCTTTCTTGGGCCCTGGTACAGATCAGGGCATGTGGCCAGGATTGCCCAGGGCCACCCCTGTCATTGGGAGTGAGGTGGCTGCTTCAGGGGCAGATGCTGGGCTGGAGGACACAGTGGTGAGGCATCGTAGGACAAACACAGCCTGCCACCCCCAAGCTGGCTTGCTGCCTGCAGGTGCAGGAGAGAACATTGTTCCATCTCCAGCACTGAAGAAAAGATTCCAGCTGAATCACGGGAGCTGCAGTTTGTTAAGTACTGTGGCTCTTTGAGAGGGTAAACTACACTTCCCAGAAGTCTTGGGGGAAATCATGTGCTTTCACTGTACGTTGAGTACAGAGCCTGAGAAGATTTGGGTTTCCCCATCCTTGCTGAGGGTGGGGACAAAACCCACCACCCTCATGCCCTGGCTGACCACCATCAGTGACAGAGCACTGGGCCAGATGGATCTTGGTCCAATCTGACAGGGCAGTTTCAAATTTCCCAGGAACTCGCCCTAAAGCCCTGCCAGAGGTATCTATTTCTCTGTGATGGGAGTTACCTGTGAGTAAGACCCATCAAATTCAAGAAGACACCCCTCTAGCTAGACACGCCGACAACTGCGCTGTTACTTGTTGCCCTTAAATCCCATTTGTACTGGCCATGATTAACTTGATTTTGATGAGTTCTAAGCTCAACAAACTTAGTTTGGATTCCATTGTATGTTCTTATCTGTCAAATGGGAATAATAGGGACTTCCTTTGAAGGGTAGCTGTGAAGTGAAGGAAGGGAAGGGAGGGGGCTGGGGGCTTCCGTTGGACATCTGGTTGGCCAGTGGGAGCAACAGGAGCCCAGCTCTCCTCATTTGTTTATTTCCTTCATTCATGTGTATTTATAAAAACATTTCATATTTATTTATAAAAACATTTCATATTTATTTATAAAAATATTTGTACACCACTGTGTCATACAAAACTATATCGAGGAGATTTACATCAGTAAAGACATAATACCTGTTTAACCTTTGAAAAAGTGAACAACAGTCATCAATTAACCATTTGCAAAACGATGCGTTCTTAATTGCCTGCACAGTCTGGGAGGAATAGAAATGTTTTCAGCAGGAACTACAGCTTTGCATGGAAGGTGCCCCTGAATCTCCAGTGGCAGAGAGTTCCACTGGCCTGAGGACATGAAAGGTTCAGTTTCTCTCTGTTGTCAAACGAGTCTCGCCAACAACCAGCGATGCTCCTGCAGACTGAGTTATGCTCCTTTAATTCCAATGCTCGCTTGGCGAAAGTTTATTTTTGCTGTGTCAGAATCGCTGCTGCTTGGGTGATCTGCAGCAGAGTCATTTTCACCTCCTCCTGAGCAACAGGTCGGCCTCTTGCAGCCGGAGCTATCAGGGGGAGCCAGGCCTGACTCAGCAGGAGGCTGGGCAGATCTGCAAGGTCATCCCTGCATATGGAGCACATGCAGCAAGCCAGGAGGGGGAGAGCCCATGGGTGGTGAAGAGAAGGGGCTGCAGGATCAGGACCCTGAATCAGGGACCGTGCACCACAGCCTTCCAGAAAGGGATGCCTGAGCAGCTCCTGTTCCAGCCCTGTGAAGAAAGCAAGGGGAGCTCTGAGTGGAGAGGAGAGGCAGCTACAAGGCGCCATGATAGGACTGCATCATCATCATCGAAATTGGTAGGCCACCCTATACCCGCAGGTCTCAGGCGGTTTACAGGATAAAAGCACAACGTAAAAACACGAAATGCACATTGAAAACAGAAGCAGCCCAATATGTGCCATGGACTTGGGGAGTGTTGAAGGAGAGGCAGCTGTCGTCGGGTGCAGGATAAAGGGGCAAGGAGACTTGCGCTCGAACCCCGCCAAAGCTCACCTTTTGGCCTGGCCCACCTCCCAGGGTCTTTGTGGGGATTAATTGGGACAAGAAGACCCATATCCCAAACTCCTTCGCAGATTACTAGGACACAACGAGGATTGATAAACGAGAGACTACTCCTAGTTCTAAGCATGACATTCAAGGCAGGCCTTCCAAGCGCCCCTCTTTCCCAGTTTCTGATTTGATCCCGGAATGTCCCACTTTCCCTTAGGATATCCCTGTTTTCACCAGGGAAATGGTGGAGGGTATGGAGTTATGCAACCCCCGAGCCAAGGAAATAAGTAACTATACGACCTTTAGAAGACATCTGAAGGCAGCCCTGGAAAGGGAAGTTTTTGAATGTTTTATTGTGTTTTTGTATATGTTGGAAGCCAACAAGAGTGGCTGCGGCAACCCAGTCAGATGGGTAGGGCATGATTTATATTCTCTTATGGAATAGGATGTCCCTATCTTCACCAGATGGAGAGGTATGTCAGGGCAGCCGGCACTTTGATGCAACAGCCACGTGGCATCCATTAAGAGGGACCGCTGCCCAATCGACTGTTTCAGCCCACTCCCCAGCCTGGTGCCAACGCCATGCAGCCCACAGTGTTTGCGCAACACACAAGTTACGACAGCCGTCCTTGGACTGAGTCCCACGTGCCGAGTTACTAGCAGAGCAGGTTGGGTTTGCAAGAGCCAAGAGATCCAGAAACTTAATCGTAGACCTGTAAGGACTCCAGGGGTCATCTAGTCCAGCCCCCTGCAACGCAGGAATCTCAGCTGAAGCATCCCTGGCAGTTGGCTATCCAAACTCTGTTTAAAAACCTCCAAGGAAGGAGAGTCCACCTCCGCTTGTGGGAGTCTGTTGCACTGCTGAACTGTTCTTACTGCCAGAGAGTGTTTCCAAATGATCAGCCGGAATCTCCTTTCTTGCATCTTGAAGCCTTTGGTTCGAGTCCTGCCCTCCAGAGCAGGAGAAAACAAGCACGCTCCCTCCTCCATGGGACAACCCTTGAGATATTTGAAGATGGCTCTCATATCTCCTCTCCGTCTCCTCTTCTCCAGGCTTAACATACCCAGCTCCTTCAACCGCTCCTCATACGGCTTGCCTTCCAGACCCTTGATCACCCTGGTCTCCCTCCTCTGCACACCTTCCAGCTTGTCCACATCCTTCTTAAACTATGGTGGCCAGAAGTGGACACAGTGTTCCAGGTGTGGTCAGACCAAGGCAGAAGAGAGCAGGACTGTGACTTCCCTGGATCTGGACACTAGACTTCTGTGGAAGCAGACTAGAATAGCATTCCCTTTTTTGGCTGCTGCATCACACTGTGGACTCATGTTGAGCTTGTGGTCCACCAAGACCCCTAGATCCTTTTCACATGTACTGCTAGTGAGCCAGGTCTCCCCCACATTACACTGATTTTTATTTCTCCATTCCAATTATGCATAAAATAGTCTTTTAAAGTTTATTGTGCTTTTTCATATATTTCTTGATCATCTAATAAATTATCATTCAGTCTCCAACGAAAAGTCTATTCCTATAATTTCACACAAAATTGGATTATGATCTGAAAGAGTTTTTGGATGTCTGTTAAGGTCATTTTGAATCCCGATTGTGTTTTCTGCGGCATTAGCTACCATTCCCAGTTTGGTGTCATCTGCAAATTGGATGAGCATCCCCTCAATTCCTTCATCCAGGTCCTTTATAAAGACGTCAAACAACAACAGACCCAGGACAGCACACTGCGCACACGACTTATCACTTCTCCCCAGGTTGATGAGGAACCATTAAGGAGTCCTCTTTGGGTTTGGTCTGTCAACCATCTACCAATCCACCAAATAGTACCTTGTTCAACCTCCATTTCAACAGCTTCCTCGCTAGAATATCATGGGGGATTTTGTCAAAAGCCTCACTGAATTCAAGATACACTATGTCCACAGCATTCCCCTGATCCACCAAGTTTGTACCTCTGTCTAGAAAAGAGAAAAAATCAATCAGATTGGTCTGGCTGACTTATTTTGGGGAAACCTATGCTGGGTCTCAGTAATCGCAGCATCTTTTCCTAAACGCTCATAGACACACTGTTGATTTATCTAACAGGCTGAGCAAAAGAGCAACTGCTCTGGCTTACCTTCCGCTTCAGTTGGGGAACTGAAGCCCAGATCCTCAGTTATAGACGGCCCAGAGAGCCCTCTTGGCTCTGCAGATCAGCTCATCCAGCTGACGGGACAAACGACCTTCCAGCCATCTTCAGCAGCCAGGATCACATACCCTCCAGCATTTCTCTGATGATAAGAGGGCCGTCCATCAGGCTAGCAATTCCCTCTGCCAAAAGAGGAAGACAGCTGATTGACGGGCAGCTTTCAGGCCCTGATCATGCACAAGACCTTTGGTGCTGTTTTCTCACAGGAAAGTGTTTCTGGTTTGGTTTTGTTCAGAACTTTCCCCAGCCCTGCATCTGGCAACTGGTCAGTCAAAAAATCAGGCAGCAACAGGACATAGAAACCCAACTCAAGTGCTTTTCATATCAACGTTGAGGGTCTTTACTGCCTTGCAATGCACCAGTTACTCCACTAATGTTTTGATTTGCTTTTCCTAAGGAATTATGGTGCATCAACACCAGAAATTTAAATCACCTGCAAATCACTTCTGCTCCTTGCACTAAATAACTTTGGGTGCCGTAGGTTTATTGAGTTTATATTTCTGTTAAGAGACTGCTGACACTTTTACACAACTACACGCCCCAAGGTTGGTAGCAAGGATGAATCTTCAGTGGGAGATCTGCTCAGTTGTCTGCTGGGTGCCGTCTGGGGGACAGCCTGTCCTTTGGGTTGTGGGGAATGAATTCAGCCACGGTCTGGGGGGGCATGTCTTCTTTACCCCATGAGCTCAAGCGTGTGCTGGGTGAATCCTCCGCAAAGGACACCCCCTTCCATCGCTGCTTTCTCTAGCAGCACTTGTCATGGCGGACTAGCATGGCCTTTCTTAATGGCGCTGCAACTTGCAAAGCTCATCAGGAGCATAACGGGGCAATGTATTAGGCACCTCTGAGAAGCCCAGAAATGCTGCCTGATGGTTAGCAATGAATAATCTAGCACAGTCCTTCAAAGGAAGTCCCTATTATTCCCATTTGACAGATAAGAACATACAATGGAATCCAAACTAAGTTTGTTGAGCTTAGAACTCATCAAGATCAAGTTAATCATGGCCAATATATATGGGATTTAAGGGCAACAAGTAACAGCGCAGTTGTCGGCGTGTCTAGCTAGAGGGGTGTCTTCTTGAATTTGATGGGTCTTACTCACAGGTACTGGGATACGGGTGGCGCTGTGGGTCAAACCACAGAGCCTAGGACTTGCAGATCAGGAGGTCGGCGGTTCAAATCGCCGCGACAGGGTGAACTGCCATTGCTCGGTCCCTGCTCCTGCCAACCCAGCAGTTCAAAATCATGTCAAAGTGCAAGTAGATAAATAGGTACCGCTCCGGCGGGAAGGTAAACAGTGTTTCCGTGCGCAGCTCTGGTTCACCAGAAGTGGCTTAGTCATGCTGGCCACATGACCCGGAAGCTGTATGTCAGCTGCCTCGGCCAATAAAGGGAGATGAGCGCCGCAACCCCAGAGTCATCCACGACTGGACCTAATGGTCAGGGGTCACTTTACCTTTACCTTTTACTCACAGGTAACTCGCATCACAGAGAAATAGATACCTCTGGCAGGGCTTTAGGGCGAGTTCCTGGAAAATTTGAAACTGCCCTGTCAGATTAGACCAAGATCCATTTAGCCCAGTGCTCTGTCACTAATGGTGGTCAAAATGACTCCCAGGCTGTGCACCTGGTCCTTCAGGGGTACAGTTACCCCATTAAGGACCAGGGAGTCGTGGATGTTTCAATGAAGGTGAGTTTATGGGTGTGAAATATGTTGGCGGGGGTGTTTATTGGGTTGTTTTTGTTTTGTTTATGTGGTTTGTGTTTTTATATTGTAATTTCATCCTGTGAACCCCCAAATTTAATAAACAAATAAATGGATAAAACGAAATGAATTCCACCCTCTCCCTGCCGATTAAGAAGCAGCTCCGTCCGCGACACCCATCTGGAAAGAGGCAGGGAGGGGCATTGCGGGGGGGGAGTGGCCCTTGGGGGTCTCCCTGGGTGGCCCATGTTGGTACCCCCACCCCTTATTCAGAGGGATGGAATCCAGAGCAGGGGAAGGGTCCACATCTCCCTCTGAGTCTCTCATCCCCAATTTCTCCAGAGCAGGAAGATCAGAGAGGGCAACAGACCAGAACTGGGTGAGGAGATGACCAACGAGACGGGGGGGCAATTGGGGCATCGGGGGGGTCAGTCTGCCAGGAGCTTTGAGGATGAAGGATTTGGGGAAACAGTGGGGGTCCCTGGCTCCCAAAAGCACTGCAGCTTTGGGGGGTGTTAACGGAAAAATCCGAGGGCCCCCTTGGACAAAAACAAAGTCACCAACCAGGATAACTTGGAGCAAAACAGCAGCCTGTAGGCTTGGCCTTTATTGATCTGTTGCAACAGGGTGCTCCCCTCACTTGCAGGAGAGGGAGGGACCCAGAAAAATGGTGTGCAAGACCTTATAAAGACTTTTGAAATTGCCACCCTGTAGATCAACACCACCCTCAAAACAACATCCTACCTCACAGAACGGAGGGGTTGAGGGAGGAGTTGTGGTGGTAACCTGAGTGTCCTGTCACCTGGCTGGTTCCCCCTTTCCCCCTCCCCATGAGTATTTTCCAGGTGACAGGGGGCGTTTGCAGTTTCCTGCCCCCAGAGGGAAGAGCTGATTATTGTCCTTTGTTCCAGTCTGTGCTGAATCCACTCCCATATGCAAGTTCTTTGTGATCTTGATGGTCTTCTGTCTAGGACCATCAGGGTTGGCATAGCAACTGGGCAGGGCTCCTGTGGATGTGCTGGTATGTTGAAGGGATTATGGCTGCCCTCTATCAAACCTTCCCCATTTTGTAGTCCTTCCTTCATGGAGTAAAATAAAAGTGGAACAGTGCAAATCCGATGTATGGTTGATTTTCTATGAATTTATAACAGAAGCGTAGCGTATGTAGTGTGTGAGTGTGTGTCAAGTTTGTGCAAACTGAATGATTGGGGGGGGTTTCCTGCGACAGGGGGGGACAAAGTGCCACAGAGCCGTGAACCCCCCCCCCCACTGGTGCTCAATGGTTCCTCTTAAGTGACAGAGAAACCCCCCCTTTCCTAGCCCCCCAACTAACTTGAGACGTTTCCCCCCACCCCCAGGCTTGTCCCCTCCCTCTGTCCCAGAGAAAAAGACACAGGAAACCAGGTCACATTGCAGAGGGAGGATTTATTAGAGGGTCAAGTGTCACATGGGGGCTGGTAGGAATGGGCCCCACCCCAGCCGGTGGGTGGAAAGACCAGCAGGAGGCGGGCGCTTCTCCCTGGGGGTGTCTCAGTGGTACCGGTACCTGCCTCTTCTCTCCACTCAGAGCTCCCTTGCTTTCTTCACAGGGCTGAAACAGGAGCTGCTCAGGCATCCCTTTCTGGAAGGCTGTGGTGCACGGTCCCTGATTCAGGGTCCTGATCCTGCAGCCCCTTCTCTTCACCCATGGGCTCTCCCCCCCCCCCCTCCTGGCTTGCTGCATGAGCTCCATATGCAGGGATGACTTTGCAGATCTGCCCAGCCTCCTGCTGAGTCAGGCCTGGCTCCTCCTGATATCTCCAGCTGCAAGAGGCCGACCTGTTGCTCAGGAGGAGGTGAAAATGACTCTGCTGCAGATCACCCAAGCAGCAGCGATTCTGACACAGCAAAAATAAACTTTCGCCAAGTGAGCACTGGAATTAAAGGAGCATAACTCAGTCTGCAGGAGCATCGCTGGTTGTTGGCGAGACTCGTTTGACAACAGAGAGAAACTGAACCTTTCGTGTCCTCAGGCCAGTGAAACTCTCTGCCACTGGAGATTCAGGGGTGCCTTCCATGCAAAGCTTTAGTTGCCTGCTGAAAACATTTCTATTCCTCCCTGTTATTATCCAGGTGGAAAGAGGAGCTCCTGCCCAACCTGCCTAGAGAGGCAACCAGCACCTGGCCTTACCAGACAAGGATATCCCCACCAATGGCGGCCATGTCGACTTTGCTGCAGGCAGTGTTGATGAGCTGCTTCTCCTTTGCGGTCCAGTGCACAATGATGGCTGGGTGTGGGCTGGGAGCTTCTCTCGGCTGCTGGAGAAAACCTTCTGGGCTGAGCTGGAGCTTCTTCCAGGGCTGGAGCCTTTTATACCCTGGGCCAAAGCTCCTCCTCCAGGATTTAAAGAAGCTTCCTTGTTTCTGATTTGACCAAATAATGTCCTGCTTTTCCTTAGGACATCCCTATGTCATCTGAGAAAGCCTGAAGGGTATGGAGTAATTGTGAGAATATAGTTCCATTCCACCTTAAAAGGGTCAGGCATTACTGTCGTGTATTAAAGGGAAGGTCTCTTTCTGCAGTTCTCTTACTGCACATAACTGTGGCATTGTGGGAAGTCTTACTATGGGAACTATTGCTTCTTTTCTCTTGCATTCTGGGAAGTCTCGCTTCTGCTTCTGCACACACTGTACAAACCTGTTCCAAACACACCAAGACATTCTCTCATTCTTCAGTTCATTTCAAGTTCATGAACAAACAATATGACCTGTTCTTAATGCATTGCTGACCACATCTACGGAACGTGATTGTTGTATTCTTTCATGTTATGTTCTTTCAAGTCATGCTATATTAATCTTTAGTTATAATTTAATTAGGAGGTTTCATGCCTGTCTAGTTCCAGCTCCGTTTCCCAGCCTTTAATCTATCAGTGATAAATGGTTATATGTAATTCCCGCCTTGTACCTATGTTAACCAATCAGCAACAAGTTGCTTTGTGTTTGTATCAACCAATCAGCCACAAGCACACCTGTGGCAATGTTTGTAATATTCAATAAAAGAGAGTTCCCGGGCTTGCCTCGCAGACGCCTCTCATATGACACCTGCCACTCGTCTGTCGTGGATTCATTCCAACAGTGTATCACATGCCTGTTTACGTCCAGCACATTCTACTGGGAACCTCTGTTGTATGTTGCCTTTGTGTTACTGCTGTTTTGCTGGAGACGAAGGGATGCAGACATGTTTTCCTGTGTTCCTGAACAATGCTGAATAAATGCTGTAAATAATGCTTACATCTGCCTCTGTCCACCTCATCTGCTGTGTGATGATTTACACACTCTGCTGACAGAGCGGGCACGGGGCTCTAAGCGTATCTGAGGCTCGTGTCACTGGCTGACTGCTGCTGCTCCACGGGAGACCGGTGATGGTCTGGAGCAAGCTGGGGGCCTGCCTGATGCTGTCGTTTCCCCGGCAGTATCCCAACAGTGATGCCGCTCCAGAGCCAAGGAGACAAGCAACTATACAACTTTTAAAAGACACTTGAAGGCAGCCCTGGATAGGGAAGTCCCAAAGGAGTGTCTCCAACCCCATCACTCAGCCCAGACACTGAGGTCCTCCTCCTCCGGTGATTCAGCTACAGGGTACCAGGCAAAGGGCCTTCTTGGCAGTGGCTCCCTCCCTGTGGAAAGACATCAGATGTCAACCTGGGTGGCCTGAAAGACGGACTAGACAGATTCATGGAGGAAAAGCTCTAATAATAATAATAATAAATTTTATTTATATCCCGCCCTCCCCAGCCGAAGCCGGGCTCAGGGCGGCTAACAACAATAAAACAGTACAAAAGTACAGCACAAACAACACTCTAAAATCATTCATTATAAAATTAATTAATTCAAGCCACTGGCAACCATTGGGCCAGAGCTCCGCGAAGATTGCCGAGGGAGGGAGTCAGGCTGTGCCCTGGCCAAAGGCCTGGTGGAACAGCTCTGTCTTGCAGGCCCTGCGGAAAGATGTCAAGTCCCACAGGGCCCAGGTCTCTTGTGACAGAGTGTTCCACCAGATCGGAGCCACGGCTGAAAAAGCCCTAATGGCTCCTAGTCCGGCTGGCTCTGCTCTCCCTCCACCATCAGAGGCAGCGATGCTTCTGAATCCCACTTGCAGGAAACGGCGTCAAGGGAGAGGCTCTGGGGCTCCAATCCTGCTTGCCCATTGGGGTCCATAGTTGGCCATTGGGAGAAGAGGATCCTGGACTCAATGGTCCCCTTTGGCCTGACCAAGAAGGCTCTGACTTTTGTCATTCCCAAGGAACCTTGGGAAATGGAGTTCTGTGAGGGAGCACTAGGAATTTCCAAGAGAACTTCCGACTCTCCCTCTGCTTTTCTCTACCCATGCTGTCAAACCTGAATGTAAGCTCCCTGGGGCAGAGTCCTGTCCTACACTCCAAGGCCCCTCAATTGTTAAATGGCAAAATAATAATAATAATAATAATAATAATAATAATAATAATAATCTGAAAGTGCAATTAATTATCCTCAGTGGGCTCAATTATCCTCAAGAGCCAAGCCTTTGAAACTCTGTTTGCAATGCTTTCTTAGGCCCTGCTTCCTCCCAGACAACATTCACACCTTCCTCCCTTACCTGGCCTTGGACACGGCTGTCCAACCTCCGGCCCCCATAACCAGCAGTTCAGCCTCACTAGCGCGGACTGCAGAGAGTGAACATGAAACCCCAGGGGTGTTTTGTATAAATATGTAATATACATCCCCTCCTGTAACACTGCCAATCTTCTAGCGCCACCCACCCTTCACATTCCACCAAATTTAATCCTCAATTCTACATACAGCCAGCTCATTAAGAAATATGCAGAATCCATTTCTCTTCTTTTGCGTCTCAAAAGCCATCAAGATGCTGCACAATGTGGTCCCTCCTGTCCCTATCGCTGTTCTTGTTTCCACCTTCAGGCTCCAAGGAGGTGGGCTGATGTACCGTATTTTTCGCTCTATAAGACGCACCAGACTACAAGACGCCCTGGGTTCAGTCCTTTCTAATGACTTTATGGCTGCAACATAAGAGGTCTTTTGGACATTGTCAAAGATATGTGGGAGGTATTATTATTACCGTATTTTTCGCTCTATAAGACACACCAGACCACAAGATGCACCTAGTGTTTGGAAGAGGAAAACAAGAAAAAAAAATCTGAATCTCAGAAGCCAGAACAGCAAGAGGGATCGCTGCGCAGTCAAAGCAGAAATCCCTCTTGCTGTTCTGGCTTCTGGGCTAGCTGCGCAGCCTGCATTCACTCCATAAGACGCACACACATTTCCCCTTACTTTTTAGGAGGGAAAAAGTGAGTCTTATAGAGCAACAAATACATTAATCTCCACAAAATCCTGGTCTCTTCTCCTTCCTCCCCCCTAAACTCATAAATCTTCCTGCTTCGCAGACAGTCGATCCAGTTGTCACCCCTCTTTTCTTCTTTACTGCTTTTATTTCTCAGGAGGAAGTCCCAAGGGGGGAACAAAATCCCTCAAAAGTCCCTCAAGGTTGTTGCTCTCCATCTTCTTTCAGGCAAAGTCCTTACTTCTAAAACTAATCCATCGCAAAGAGGCAAATTTAAAGTCCGCTCCTCCCGAAATCTTTGCATTCCTTGCTTCAGGGGAAGGGACATGACGCAGATCCCGAAAAAGCCCCATAACTTAAAAGATTCCCTCCCCTCCTTGCCCCGTTCAAGCAAAGCAGAAATCAGCGTCTTTCCACACAGATGCTTTTCTCCTGCATCAGAAGTCAGGATCTCTTCCACGGGGGCGTGTGCCTCTTCGCTTGCCAATTGTGTCCCCATTCAAACCTGTTCCCCGCCCTCCCCACGGGAGTTGGCCAGGGCTGTTTGGGGACAGTTTGAAATCCTTTGCTGAAGGAGGCAGGCAGCTTTCTGGGCCAGCGAATGGCCTGAGGGCGCAAGGAAGGCGCTTGCTCTGCGCCCGAGGACACCTGGCTGGAAGTCAGAAGGACAAAAGCCACAGGGGGAGCGGCTGCTTCCAGGCCTGGGACTGGGGGAGAACCTCGCCTCTGCTTCGTCTGGGAGACAGGGATTTCCATCCCGGCTCACAACCTCTCCCCCAAAATACATTACCGGGCGAGCGCGGGTCGTGCCCTTTCGATACGCTCGGAAGGTTAGGGGAGACCTGCCCCTTTCCCCCCATAGACCTCCGCCTGGGACCCCCAAAGGGCGACTTGCTGGGTTCGCTGCCCCTCTGGCGTTTTATTTTGGATCGCTTTGTTTGATGTTTCAATGAAGGCGGTAAATTCTTTTGATGTTATTATGGGTGTGAAATATGTAGGCAGGGGTGTTTATTGGGTTGTATTTGTTTTTATTTGACTATGTGTTTTGTGTTTTTATATCGTAATTTAATCCTGTGAACCCCCATATTTAATGAACAAATAAATGGATAAAACGAAATGAATTCCCCCCTCTCTCTGCCGATCAAGAGGCAGCTCCGTCCCCGACACCCATCTGGAAAGAGGCAGGGAGGGGCATTGCGGGGGGAGAGTGGCCCTTGGGGGTCTCTCTGGGTGGCCCCTGTTGGTACCCCCACCCCTTATTCAGAGGGATGGAATCCAGAGCAGGGGAAGGGTCCGCATCCCCCTCTGAGTCTCTCACCCCCAGTTTCTCCAGAGTAGGAAGAACAGAGAGGGCAACAGACCAGGGTCAAACACCAAGAAATGGGTGGGGAGACAACCAAGGAGACCAGGGGGGCCCTGGGAACATGGGGGGGGGACCTTGCCAGGAATTTTGAGGATAAAGGATTTGGGGACACAGCAGGGGTCTCTGGCTCTGAAAAGCACTGCAGCTTGGGTGGGGGCAAAATGCCATAGCGCCCTAAAACCCCCCACTGGTGCTGAATGATTCCTCTTGAGTGACAGAGAACACCCCCCTTTCCACGCCACCCCCCAACTAACTCCCCACCCCCAGGCCTGTCCCCTCCCTCCGTCCCAGAGAAGAAGACACAGGAAGCCAGGTCAGATTGCAGAGGGAGGATTTATTAGAGGGTCAAGCGTCACATGGGGGCTGGAAGGGGTGGTCCCCACCAAACCTGGTGGGTGGCGAGAGCAGAAGGAGGCGGCCGCTTCTCCCTGGGGTCAGATTGCAGAGGGAGGATTTATTAGAGGGTCAAGCGTCTCAGTGGGACCGGCAGGCCAGCGCATGAGCCACCACCCTGACCAGCTTGTGGAAGGCATGGTGGTAAGCAGGGGTGAATTCCTGTCCAAAGGGGGTGGGGGGTGGGTGATGAGGACTTCGACAGGAGCTGGAAGAGAAAAGAGGGGGTGACTCCTTCTGCCAGGGGGCCCATGTGTGGGTCACCCTCTCCCCACAACAGATCCCACAGCAGATTCAACAGACTGAGGCTGAATCCTGACAAGGCAGAAGTACTGTTTTGGGGGGACAGGAGGCAGGCAGGTGTGGGGGACTCCCTGGTCCTAAACGGGGTAACTGTGCCCCTGAAGGACCAGGTGTGCACCTTGGGAGTCATTTTGGACTCACAGCTGTCCATGGAGGTGCAGGTGAATTCTGTGTCCAGGGCAGCTTTGTACCAGCTCCATCTGGTCCACAGGATGAGACCCCACCCGCCCTCAGCTTGTCTCGCCAGAGTGGTGCATGCTCTGGCTATCTCCCGCTTGGACTACTGCAATGCACTCTATGTGGCACTACCTTTGAAGGCGACCCTTTTGGTGGTTCCCTCCCTGTGAGAGGTGAGGTTACAGAGAAGCAGGCAGAGGGCCTTCTCGGTTGTGGCCCCCGCCCTGTGGAATGCCCTCCCACCAGATGTCAAGGAAATGAAAAACTAACTGAAATCTGAATGCAACCCTGTAACAGGAAATGTCTAATGTCTTACCATGTTTTATGTCCTGTAAGCCACCCGGAGTGACACACACACACACACACACACACACACACACCACCCCCCAGCCCACCCCCAGGCAGCCCCTTGGGGCGGGGGAGCAGCCTCACCCTGATGTTGAGGGGGTCCACGTGGAGCTTGTCGCAGAGCAGTTCACGCAGCTCGGAAAAAGCCTCCTTGACCTTGTGCAAAGAGGGCTGGAGAGGTTCCTAATGAGCGGGCAGGGCCAGAGAGGTCCCCGAAGTTACGGAACAAACGCCGGGTCCAGGGGAAGACGATCAACAAGCTGGAGAGAAGGAAGGAAGGAAGGAAGGAAGGAAGGAAGGAAGGAAGGAAGGAAGGAAGGAAGGAAGGAAGGAAGGAGGAAGGAAGGAAGGAAGGAAGGAAGGATAAAAAGAGAGGCATGGATGGTTATTATCCAGGTGGAAAGAGGAGTTTCTGCCCAACCTGCCAAGAGAGGCAACCAGAGCCTGGCCTTACCATTCAAGGGTATCCCCCCCCAAGGGGTCCACGTCGACTGTCATCATGACGGTTTCCATGATGGCTGGCCGTGGGCTGTGAGCTTCTCTCGGCTGCTGGAGAAAACCTTCTGGGCTGAGCTGGAGCTTCTTCCAGGGCTGAAACCTTTTATACCCTGCACCAAAGCTCCTCCTCCAGGATTCACAGAAGCCGACCTGGTTTCTGATTTGATCAAAGAATGCGATTTTCCTTTAGACATGCCTATTTTCCTCTGAGAAATCCTGGAGGGTATGGAGTAATGCCACCCCTGTGCTAAGGAGACAAGCAAGTATAAAGGCTTTGGAAGACATCTGAAGGCAGCCCCAAAGGAGCCGTCTCCACCCCCATCGCTTGGCCTGGACACTGAGGTCCTCCTCCTCCGGTGAGTCAGCTACAGGGTACCAGGCAAAGGGCCTTCTTAGCAGTGGCTCCTCCCTGTGGAAAGACATCAGATGTCAACCTGGGTGGCCTGAAAGACGGACTAGACACATTCATGGAGAAGAAGCTCTAATGGCTCCTAGTCCGGCTGGCTCTGCTCTCCCTCCACCATCAGAGGCAGCGATGCTTCTGAATCCCATGGGTGTATTTGCCTTGACTGATTCAGGGGACATTTCAAGGGGCACAGAATGATCTTTCTCCTGAGAAACGCCTGCTTGTGACCTCAACTTTTCTGGTTGTATGACTTTGGGTCACATTAGAAGTCCTCAATTCTTTCTTTGCTCCTGACTCTGCTTCCCATCCCCACTGCCAGCTGACAGTTCATAGGCTCCCAATCCCTGCCCTTGTTTAACCTCCCTGTCTTCCTACCCCTGCCACTTCCAACTCTCCCTCTGCTGTTCTCTCCCCACGCTGTCAAACCTGAATGTGAGCTACCTGGGGCAGAGTCCTGTCCTACATTCCAAGGGCCCTCAGTTGATAAATGGTGAAATAATAATCATGATCTGAAAGTGCAATTAATTATCCTCATTGGACTCAATTATCCTCAAGTGATTGCAACTCTGTCAGCAGTCTCTTAACAGAAATATAAACTCAAGAAACCTACGGCACCCAAAGTTATTTAGTGCAAGGAGCAGGAGTGATTTGCAGGTGATTTAAGTTTCTGGTGTTGATGCACCATAATTCCTTAGCAAAAGCAAATCAAAACATTAGTGGAGTAACTGGTGCATTGCAAAGCATAAAAGACCCTCAACGTTGATATGAAAGGCACTTGAGTTGGGTTTCTATGTCCTGTTGCTGCCTGGTTTTTTGACTGACCAGTTGCCAGATGCAGGGCTGGGGAAAGTTCTGAACAAAACCAAACCAGAAACACTTTCCTGTGAGAAAACAGCACCAAAGGTCTTGTGCATGATCAGGGCCTGAAAGCTGCCCGTCAATCAGCTGTCTTCCTCTTTTGGCAGAGGGAATTGCTAGCCTGATGGACGGCCCTCTTATCATCAGAGAAATGCTGGAGGGTATGTGATCCTGGCTGCTGAAGATGGCTGGAAGGTCGTTTGTCCCGTCAGCTGGATGAGCTGATCTGCAGAGCCAAGAGGGCTCTCTGGGCCGTCTATAACTGAGGATCTGGGCTTCAGTTCCCCAACTGAAGCGGAAGGTAAGCCAGAGCAGTTGCTCTTTTGCTCAGCCTGTTAGATAAATCAACAGTCGGTCTATGAGCGTTTAGGAAAAGATGCTGCGATTACTGAGACCCAGCATAGGTTTCCCCAAAATAAGTCAGCCAGACCAATCTGATTGATTTTTTCTCTTTTCTAGACAGAGGTACAAACTTGGTGGATCAGGGGAATGCTGTGGACATAGTGTATCTTGAATTCAGTGAGGCTTTTGACAAAATCCCCCATGATATTCTAGCGAGGAAGCTGTTGAAATGGAGGTTGAACAAGGTAACTATTTGGTGGATTGGTAGATGGTTGACAGACCAAACCCAAAGAGGACTCCTTAATGGTTCCTCATCAACCTGGGGAGAAGTGATAAGTCGTGTGCGCAGTGTGCTGTCCTGGGTCTGTTGTTGTTTGACGTCTTTATAAAGGACCTGGATGAAGGAATTGAGGGGATGCTCATCCAATTTCCAGATGACACCAAACTGGGAATGGTAGCTAATGCCGCAGAAAACACAATCGGGATTCAAAATGACCTTAACAGACATTCAAAAACTCTTTCAGATCATAATCCAATTTTGTGTGAAATTATAGGAATAGACTTTTCGTTGGAGACTGAATGATAATTTATTAGATGATCAAGAAATATATGAAAAAGCAGAAAAGACTTGAAAAGACTATTTTATGCATAATTGGAATGGAGAAATAAAAATCAGTGTAATGTGGGGGAGACCTGGCTTACTAGCAGTACATGTGAAAAGGATCTAGGGGTCTTGGTGGACCACAAGCTCAACATGAGTCCACAGTGTGATGCAGCAGCAAAAAAAGGGAATGCTATTCTAGTCTGCTTCCACAGAAGTCTAGTGTCCAGATCCAGGGAAGTCACAGTCCTGCTCTCTTCTGCCTTGGTCTGACCACACCTGGAACACTGTGTCCACTTCTGGCCACCACAGTTTAAGAAGGATGTGGACAAGCTGGAAGGTGTGCAGAGGAGGGAGACCAGGGTGATCAAGGGTCTGGAAGGCAAGCCGTATGAGGAGCGGTTGAAGGAGCTGGGTATGTTAAGCCTGGAGAAGAGGAGACGGAGAGGAGATATGAGAGCCATCTTCAAATATCTCAAGGGTTGTCCCATGGAGGAGGGAGCGTGCTTGTTTTCTCCTGCTCTGGAGGGCAGGACTCGAACCAAAGGCTTCAAGATGCAAGAAAGGAGATTCCGGCTGATCATTTGGAAACACTCTCTGACAGTAAGAACAGTTCAGCAGTGCAACAGACTCCCACAAGCGGAGGTGGACTCTCCTTCCTTGGAGGTTTTTAAACAGAGTTTGGATAGCCAACTGCCAGGGATGCTTCAGCTGAGATTCCTGCGTTGCAGGGGGCTGGACTAGATGACCCCTGGAGTCCTTACAGGTCTACGATTAAGTTTCTGGATCTCTTGGCTCTTGCAAACCCAACCTGCTCTGCTAGTAACTCGGCACGTGGGACTCAGTCCAAGGACGGCTGTCGTAACTTGTGTGTTGCGCAAACACTGTGGGCTGCATGGCGTTGGCACCAGGCTGGGGAGTGGGCTGAAAACAGTCGATTGGGGCAGCGGTCCCTCTTAATGGATGCCACGTGGCTGTTGCATCAAAGTGCCGGCTGCCCTGACATACCTCTCCATCTGGTGAAGATAGGGACATCCTATTCCATAAGAGAATATAAATCATGCCCTACCCATCTGACTGGGTTGCCGAAGCCACTCTTGCTGGCTTCCAACATATACAAAAACACAACAAAACATTCAAAAACTTCCTTTCCAGGGCTGCCTTCAGATGTCTTCTACCGGTCGTATAGTTACTTATTTCCTTGGCTCGAGGGTTGCATAACTCCATACCCTCCACCATTTCCCTGGTGAAAACAGGGATATCCTAAGGGAAAGTGGGACATTCCGGGATCAAATCAGAAACTGGGAAAGAGGGAGGCTTGGAGGGCCTGCCTTGAATGTCATGCTTAGAACTAGGAGTAGTCTCTCGTTTATCAATCCTCGTTGTGTCCTAGTAATCTGCGAAGGAGTTTGGGATATGGGTCTTCTTGTCCCAATTAATCCCCACAAAGACCCTGGGAGGTGGGCCAGGCCAAAAAAGAGGCGAGCTTTTGGCGGGGTTCGAGCGCAAGTCTCCTTGCCCCTTTATCCTGCACCCGACGACAGCTGCCTCTCCTTCAACACTCCCCAAGTCCATGGCACATATTGGGCTGCTTCTGTTTTCAATGTGCATTTCGTGTTTTTACGTTGTGCTTTTATCCTGTAAACCGCCTGAGACCTGCGGGTATAGGGTGGCCTCCCAATTTGGATGATGATGATGATGATGCAGTCCTATCAAGGCGCCTTGTGGCTGCCTCTCCTCTCCACTCAGAGCTCCCCTTGCTTTCTTCACAGGGCTGGAACAGGAGCTGCTCAGGCATCCCTTTCTGGAAGGCTGTGGTGCACGGTCCCTGATTCAGGGTCCTGATCCTGCAGCCCCTTCTCTTCACCACCCATGGGCTCTCCCCCCCCCCCGGCTTGCTGCATGAGCTCCATATGCAGGGATGATTTTGCAGATCTGCCCAGCCTCCTGCTGAGTCAGGCCTGGCTCCCCCTGATAGCTCCGGCTGCAAGAGGCCGACCTGTTGCTCAGGAGGAGGTGAAAATGACTCTGCTGCAGATCACCCAAGCAGCAGCGATTCTGACACAGCAAAAATATACCTTCGCCAAGTGAGCTTTGGAATTAAAGGAGCATAACTCAGTCTGCAGGAGCATCGCTGGTTGTGGGCGAAACTCATTTGACAACAGAGAGAAATTGAATCTTTCATGTCCTCAGGCCAGTGGAACTCTCTGCCACTGGAGATTCAGGGGGCACCTTCTATGCAAAGCTGTAGTTGCCTGCTGAAAACATTTATATTCCTCCCAGACTGTGCAGGCAATTAAGAACGCATCCTTTTTGCAAATGGTTAATTGATGTCTGTTGTTCACTTTTTCAAAGGTTAAACAGGTATTACGGTATGTCTTTACTGATGTAAATCTCCTGGATATACTTTTGTATGACACAGTGGTGTACAAATATTTTTATAAATAAATATGAAATGTTTTTATAAATAAATATGAAATGTTTTTATAAATAAATATGAAATGTTTTTATAAATAAATATGAAATGTTTTTATAAATACACATGAATGAAGGAAATAAACAAATGAGGAGAGCTGGGCTCCCGTTGCTCCCACTGGCCAACCAGATGTCCAACGGAAGCCCCCCAGCCCCCCTCCCCTTCCCGTGCTTTGCTCTCCCCTCCCCCAGTCACAGGCACTCAGTGGCTCAGACCATATCCCCTCAACTGTGCCAGAACAAACGAGACATCTCATATTTCCCTGCGTGAGCATGGCAGTCATTTGGGGCCCCCTGCTCTCAGGCGATGTCGGAATGCGATCTCCCCTCAAAAAAGCACATTGGGGGGACCAGGGACCTTGCGTGGGTCACGTGATTCACGCAGGAGTGTGACCCCAGAAGATGGGGTCCGGCTTTCCCCCCATGTGGCATTTGACAGTGTGCCATGGGCTGGCTTAAAGGAGCCTGGTAGCCACTGTGCCCAAGGTCCACGGAAAGGTCTTCTTCTGCTCCTGTGAATGTAATATCTTATTCTGAAATATCCTTTTGAGTTTGGGGTGGGTGGCTTAGCCTGTATGATGCTGGAGCGAGTCCCTTCTCATTCCTGGACCCAGCGAGGGTTGAAATCCTTTGCTGAAGGAGCCAGACAGCTTTCTGGGCCAGCGAATGGCCTGAGGGCGCAAGGAAGGCGCTTGCTCTGCGCCCGAGGACACCTGGCTGGCAGTCAGAAGGACAAAAGCCACAGGGAGCGGCTGCTTCCAAGCCTGGGACTGGGGAGAACCTCGCCTCTGCTTCGTCTGGGAGACAGGGATTTCCATCAAGTTAATCATGTTAATCATGGCCAATAAAAATGGGATTTAAGGGCAACAAGTAACAGCGCAGTTCTCGGCGTGTCTAGCTAGATGGGTGTCTTCTTGAATTTGATGGGTCTTACTCACAGGTAACTCCCATCACAGAGAAATAGATACCTCTGGCAGGGCTTTAGGGCGAGTTCCTGGGAAATTTGAAACTGCCCTGTCCGATTGGACCAAGCTCCATTTAGCCCAGTGCTCTGTCACTGATGGTGGTCAGCCAGGGCATGAGGGTGGTGGGTTTTGTCCCCACCCTCAGCAAGGATGGGGAAACCCAAATCTTCTCAGGCTCTATACTCAACGTACAGTGAAAGCACATGATTTCCCCCAAAAGACTTCTGGGAAGTGTAGTTTACCCCCTCAAAGAGCCACAGTACTTAACAAACTGCAGCTCCCGTGATTCAGCTGGAAGCTCAATCTCTTTCTTCAGTGCTGGAGATGGGACAATGTTCTCTCCTGCACCTGAAGGCAGCAAGCCAGCTTGGGGGTGGCAGGCTGTGTTTGTCCTACGATGCCTCACCACTGTGTCCTCCAGCCCAGCATCTGCCCCTGAAGCAGCCACCTCACTCCCAATGACAGGGGTGGCCCTGGGCAATCCTGGCCACATGCCCTGATCTGTACCAGGGCCCAAGAAAGCATTGCAAACAGAGTTGCAATCGCTTGAGGATAATTGAGCCCATTGAGGATAATTAAGTGCACTTACAGATGATGATTATTACTTCACCATGTATCAATTGAGGGCCCTTGGAATGTAGGACAGGACTCTGACCCAGGAGCTCACATTCAGGTTTGACAGCGTGGGGAGAGAACAGCAGAGGGAGAGTTGGAAGCGGCAGGGGTAGGAAGACAGGGAGGTTCAACAAGGGCAGGGATTGGGAGCCCACTGCCTGCCAATGGGAAGCAGAGTCAGACCACATCCGGAAGACCTCAGGTTCCCCATCCCTGAGCAAGAGCTTCATTCGAAATATGGGCTTTGAAGCAGATGAGGTGTACAAAAGGGAGCAGGAATGACGAAAGAATTGGAGACTTCTAAAGTGACCCAAAGTCATACAACCAGAAAAGTTGAGGCCACAGGCAGGCATTTCTCAGGAGGAAGATGATTCTGCGCCCCTTGAAAGGTCACCTGAATCAGTCAAGGCAAATACACACAATCAAGTTTTATAGGCTTGAGAAAATTTAACAAACAATTGCAGAATTCTGGGGACTTGAAGGTCTAGAATGTCTGCTGAAAGTTCTCTTGGAAATTCCTAGTGGTCCCTCACAGAACTCCATTTCCCAGAGTTCCTTGGGAATGACAAAAGTCAGAGCCTTCTTGGTCAGGCCAAAGGGGACCCATCGAGTCCAGAATCCTCTTCTCCCAATGGCCAACTATGGACCCCAATGGGCAAGCAGGATTGGAGCCCCAGAGCCTCTCCCTTGACGCCGTTTCCTGCAAGTGGGATTCAGAAGCATCGCTGCCTCTGATGGTGGAGGGAGAGCAGAGCCAGCCGGACTAGGAGCCATTAGGGCTTTTTCAGCCGTGGCTCCGATCTGGTGGAACACTCTGTCACAAGAGACCAGGGCCCTGTGGGACTTGACATCTTTCCGCAGGGCCTGCAAGACAGAGCTGTTCCACCAGGCCTTTGGCCAGGGCACAGCCTGACTCCCTCCCTCGGCAATCTTCGCGGAGCTCTGGCCCAATGGTTGCCAGTGGCTTGAATTAATTAATTTTATAATGAATGATTTTAGAGTGTTGTTTGTGCTGTACTTTTGTACTGTTTTATTGTTGTTAGCCGCCCTGAGCCCGGCTTCGGCTGGGGAGGGCGGGATATAAATAAAATTTATTATTATTATTATTAGAGCTTTTCCTCCATGAATCTGTCTAGTCCGTCTTTCAGGCCACCCAGGTTGACATCTGATGTCTTTCCACAGGGAGGGAGCCACTGCCAAGAAGGCCCTTTGCCTGGTACCCTGTAGCTGAATCACCGGAGGAGGAGGACCTCAGTGTCTGGGCTGAGCGATGGGGGTGGAGACGGTCCTTTGGGGCTGCCTTCAGATGTCTTCTAAAGCCTTTATACTTGCTTGTCTCCTTAGCACAGGCGTGGCATTACTCCATACCCTCCAGGATTTCTCAGGGGAAAATAGGCATGTCTTAAGGAAAAGCAGGACATTCTTAGATCAAATCAGAAACCAGGTCGGCTTCTGTAAATCTGGGAGGAGGAGCTTTGGCCCAGGGTATAAAAGGCTCCAGCCCTGGAAGAAGCTCCAGCTCAGCCCAGAAGGTTTTCTCCAGCAGCCGAGAGAAGCTCCCAGCCCACAGCCAGCAATCATGGCCGAGATGCAGATCACCATCGATATGGATAAGGGCATCATTAGTGCAGAAGCCCTTGACATGTAAGTCCAGGGGTGGTTGCCTCTCTAGGCAGGTTGGGCAGGTGCTCCTCTTTCCACCTGGATAATAACCATCCATGCCTCTCCCTTTTTCCTTCCTTCCTTCCTTTGTTCCTTCTCTGCAGCCTGCTGGTGGTCTACCCCTGGTGCCAGAGGCGTTTCGCTGGCTTCGGGAACCTCTCCAGCCCTGCCCTCTCATTAGGAACCTCTCCAGCCCTCTTTGCACGAGGTCAAGGAGGCTTTTTCCAAGCTGCCTGAACTGCTGTGCGACAATCTCCACATGGACCCCGTCAACTTCAGGGTGAGGCTGCTCCCCCACCCCAAGGGGCTGCCTGGCAGGGGGGACTGGGGGTGCCGTGTGTGTGTGTGTCACTCTGGGTGGCTCACAGGACATAAAACATTAGACATTAAAAATTTCCTGCTACAGGATTGCCTTCAGATTTCAGTTAGTTGTTTATTTCCTTGACATCTGGTGGGAGGGCATTCCACAGGGCGGGCGCCACAACCAAGAAGGCCCTCTGCCTGGTTCCCTGTAACCTCACCTCTCACAGTGAGGGAACTGCCAGAAGGGAGCTGGACCTCAGGGTTTGGGCTGAACAATGTGGGGGGAGACGCTCCTGTGGGTATACAGGGCTGAGGCCTTTTAGGGCTTTCAAGGTCAACACCAAAACTTTGAATTGTGCTCGGTGGTCTTAGCAGCCCCTCCCTATCACCAGTCTAGCTGGCGCATTCTGGATTTGTTGCAGTTTCCGTATCACCTTCAAAGGTAGCCCCACATAGAGTGCATTGCAGTAGTCCAAGTGGGAGATAACTAGAGCATGCACCACTCTGGCCAGACAGTCAGGGAGGGTCTCATCCTGCGCACCTTCAAAGGTGCATTGCAGTAGTCCAAGCGGGAGATAACCAGGGCATGGACCACTCTGGCCAGACAGTCCACTGAGGCGTTCCCAAAGTAAAGGAAGGATTGAACTCTGATTAATACAAATACACACAGAGGCTTGAACCAGCAAGACTTTGGGAAGGGTGAGTATAATAATCTTCTCTCTGTGTGTGCCTCCAGCCCCTGGCCCAGGTCGTTTTATTCACAAAAGAACTTTTTACAGAGTGTTCGTAAGAACCAATCAGATTTCTTCTGAGCATTTCAACAAACCCACGTAGGGACAAAGTTAAACTACAAACACTAGTTAGGCATGCATACATTTGGGTAAATGAATGAAAACTACAAAGGAGTGCATTCAGCAACCCCAGAGGTCATAAACAATCAATACACATGAGAAGAAGGATGGCCAGGAGGACAGCGATCATTACCACCTTTGTGTGAGACCTGTTTCCTGGCCCTAAGATTAACACATCAGAAAAGCTACTTCAAAGAAGCTTGCCCACTATCTTTATGGCCCAGGATGCTTGCCTGGCAAAGCAACTGGGCTGTGTACGTGACTTGACAAGCAAGAGAGATGGGCAGTAGAGGAAATGGCCAGAGATGCAGAGGGTTGTGGGATTTGGTCAGAAATTATTGTCAATGAATCAAACCCAGTCAACACAATGCATTCATAGTGGACACAACGACTTGCCCAAAGTCCACCCTAAACAGTGCTTCTGTCTTGTCAGGATTCAACCTCAATCTGTTGAATGCGTTGTGGGATCTGTTGTGGGGAGAGGGTGACTCACACATGGGCCCCGGCAGAAGGAGTCACCCTCTCTTTCTCTTCCAGCTCCTGGGCAATGTCCTCGTCATCATCGTGCTACCCCTCCCCGGACAGGAATTCACCCCTGCTTACCACCATGCCTTCCACAAGCTGGTTCGGGTGATGGCTCATGCGCTGGCCCGCCGGTCCTACTGAGACACCCCCAGGGAGAAGCGGCCAGCTCCTACTGAACTCACCACCCACCGGGTGGGGGCCACCCCTTCTTGCCCCCATGTGACGCTTGACCCTCTAATAAACCTCCCTCTGCAATATGACCTGGTTTCCTGTGTCCTCAATGCTCATGGCGGACTGATCCCCCCCATGTTCCAAGGCCCCCCCCCCGTCTCGATGGTCATCTCCCCACCCAGTTCTGGTCTGTTGCCCTCACTCTTCTTCCTACTCTAGAGAAATTGGGGGTGAGAGACTCAGAGGGGGATGCGGACCCTTCCCCTGCTCTGGATTCCATCCCTCTGAATAAGGGGTGGGGGTACCAACAGGGGCCACCCAGAGAGACCCCCAAGGGCCACTCTCTCCCCGCAATGCCCCTCCCTGCCTCTTTCCAGATGGGTGTCAGGGATGGAGCTGCCTCCGAATCGGCAGGGAGAGGGAGGAATTCATTTCATTTTATCCATTTATTTGTTTATTAAATTTGGGGGTTTACAGTATGCAGTTACGATAGAAAACCACAAAACACATAAACAAAACAAAATCAACCCAATAAACACCCCCGCCAACATATTTCACACCCATAATAACATCAAAGGAGTTTACCACCTTCATTGAAACATCAAACAAACAGATCCAAAGTAAAACGCCTTGGGGGCAGCGAAGCTGGCAAGTCGCCTTTTGGGGGTCCCAGAGGGAGGTCTATGGGGGGAAAGGGGCAGGTCTCCCCTAAGCTTCCGAGGGTATTGAAAGGGCATGATCTGCGGCCATCCAATAATGTCTTTTTGGGGTTTGTGATCCGGGATGGAAATCCCTGTCTCCCAGACGAAGCAGAGGCGAGGTTCTCCCCCAGTCCCAGGCTTGGAAGCAGCCGCTCCCCCTGTGGCTTTTGTCCTTCTGACTGCCAGCCAGGTGTCCTCGGGCGCAGAGCAAGCGCCTTCCTTGCGCCCTCAGGCCATTCGCTGGCCCAGAAAGCTGCCTGGCTCCTTCAGCAAAGGATTTCAACCCTCGCTGGGTCCAGGAATGAGAAGGGACTCGCTCCAGCATCATACAGGCTAAGCCACCCACCCCAAACTCAATATTTTGAAATCACAAAGGAAGCTTAAGTATACAGAGGACATTTAGTGCAGCAAAGTGAACAAAACAATTATCTTAAAAAATTATCTTCAACAAAACATTGCTTAAGGAGGTCAACTTTAAAACAGAGCAGAGCAGGAAGGTTGGAGACTTTAGCGAGGCACGTAGGCACTGGCGGAGGAAGAGGAGTGCGGGGGAGCGCATTGCCCCCGGCAGTTGCATCCCGGTAGGGGGCCATCTCGGCTGCCCCCCCCCGGGCCCGTGCTGGGCACTATGCTCCTGCAAGTGGCATGTCCTGCCCCCAGGACGTGCGCCGGACCCCCCACCTGCTCTCCGCCCCCCCACGTGCCGGAGCATGAAGCTCCCCCACTGCACGGATGGGGGTGTCATAGAAACATAGAATGGTAGAGTCAGAAGGGGCCCCAGGGTCATCTAGTCCGACCCCCTGCAATGCAGGAATCTTTTGCCCATGACCCTGAGATGAAGAGTCTCCTGCTCTACCTGCTCAGGTAGCAGTGGGGGGCAGAATATGTGCTCCCCATATGCCAGTGTCTTTCTTCATAGTCCCCCTCAGTCCCTGCCCTGCTCCTGAGCCTCTGGCTTCTCAGAGATGGGGGCATGAGGGCATGTTTCGTACGTCACTGTATGAAGTATGGGAGAGATTGGGGGCCACCAGGTGGCGCATTGGAAGATGGCCGACAATAACATCTCTCCGACCCACACAAGGTAATTAAGAGGCGGCTATGGGAAGTATGCAGTCTTCCTACCCCCCAAGGAGATGGGGGGGACTGCCTTGCCAGCGGTGGCCATAATGCACCCCCGGATTAGAGAAGGGGGTGCCCCGGTCACTTGGCACCAGCCCTCGGTGAAGTCGGCTCTTCCCGGACGCTGTCTCCAATCTGCGCGTGCTGGTTCGCTTTAGCTCGAAAATACAATTGGAAATATATAACTGGAAGAAGCTAAAGCACATACATCAAGCAAAGGTCGGGAGATAAGACTGCTGATTAATGGATCTCTGGTATCGGAGCGGCGGGCGAGGACAAATAAATCAAGCGATGAAGCGCCATTAAGAGATTGGTATGTCTGGAGTGAAGAAGGGGGGTGGAGGAAAAACCTTTTCTTTTCTTTGCCTTATGTGAGTATTAATAATCCTCCACCCCAAAGAAAGAAGAATCGTCGTATTTTATTAATCACAAGCAGGAATTTAAAAACTGTGTGGGATGAATTAATGATGAATGAAGAGAGGATTGGTAAATATCGGAGAATGGAAAAATTCTATGACGCAGTTTTAAAATGGCGTCTCGCAAGACAGGCTTGTCTAAGAAAGATGGGGGGAGGAGAACCAGGACTATTGGAATGTGAATGATGATTGGAATTTGATCTTAACCTGGCAGAGCCCTCTAGGAGATATTTTACAAGCCTGGGAAAACTAAAGGGCAGACCGAAGATAAATTTTTGAAGGAGGAGGGGAATGGCGGCTGTCCCTATGAGATATGACTGGTGGAGTGTGTAAAACCCACACAGACGATGTTTGCTTCCAACCTGCTTGTGAAGATTATCAGAGATCGCAAAGAAAGGAATATATGACAACAACAAGAAGATGAAGAAAGTAATAAAGAGACTATCTGGATAGAACTGGATAGAACTGTTTAATTAAAGCAGTAATAGAAGTGATGTTTGGATCCTCGTTCGGAGCTTGATGAATGGGTACCCCCAACAAAATTGAAAAATTTGGCTGTATAATTTGCAATTAATGTGATTTGAAATAATGTGATACGATTGGCCTGTTAATAAAAATTATGGTTTTTTTAAAAAAAATGAAGTATGGGAGAGATTTAAAAATCTATTGGAACGTATAACACCATGGTGGCTCTCACTTTTCGAGGCAATGAGTGTGAAAAAGATAAATATGAATAAGAATTGAGCGACCTATCAACAATTAATGATGGAGATGGAAAACCAATGGAAATTAAAGCCGTGTGGAGAGGTTACATTTTTTGTGAAAGATTGGTTGCATTATCGTCAAGTCAATGAAATGTTTAAAGAAGATTAAATAAAAATGGATTTGGATTTACTAAATCGAGGTTTGAATTGGAATTGTTAAACAATAAGTTTAAAATATGATCTATAATGTACAAATTACTATTGGAATGACATTTAAAAGATGAAGAAGTTAAATCAGTAATGATACATTGGGCTAAGATATAGGGCATAATATACCAATAGACGATTGGGGGAGGTTATGGAAAGAGGGAATAAACTTTACAGCCTGCAGTGCATTAAAAGAAAATATAATGGAAATGATGTACAGATGGTATAGAACACCGGTAAAACTAGCCAAAATGTGCAAAACAAATAATAAATGTTGGAAATGTAAAGAAAATGTGGTTTTACCACATGTGGTGGGAATGTAAAAAAGTGAAAGAGTTCTGGGAAATGATTTATAATGAAATTTTTAAAATGTTGAAATATACATTTCCAAAAAAACAGAAGCTCTTTTACTTGATATGGTAGGTTCAGAAATACATAAGAATGATTTTTGAAAAAACAAAATAATAATAAAAAACTGTTTTTGCTGGACTTCCAGTTGGTCGCCCAGTTATGGCAGTCAAGAGCTCTTTCCACTAAAAGAGCCCCTGCGCTTTGAAGTTGGGGAGACCGCGAGAGCGTCACGGTTCCCTGGAAAGAACCTCAGATCGGGCGTTCTGAGGACCTGGTGTTCCAGCAGGTGCCTTTTGCGACTCCCCTGCTCCCCGGTAAGCTTCCTTCAAAGCAGCGAAGCTCCGAGACTGGCGATCGTGAGCGGCCAATTCCTTCATACAAGAGACTGAATAATTCGGAACTGTAAGTACTTTCAAAACTAATTCAGAAAAGATTGGGAAGAAAAGGGAGACCTAAAAACGGAGGTCAGTCCCCTTTGTTGGAAAAGTTGAAAATCGGTGTGCAAAGGCCGAAGACTTAAAGGAAAGAAAAACTTTTAAAACCCTGTAAGCAATTTTGCCCCCCCCCCCCCACTTCAGGGGAAGAGGGGGTATTTGTGCCTTGGATATAAATTTGGGAAGTCTGTGAATTCGACTGAGACCTTCCCATTCGGCAGCGGACCACCCGGGAGGGAAGACTAGTCTCCATTGTGACGTCACAATGGAAGAGGAAACATTCAATCTCCGTTTCCACTGACTTAGCTACAAACTTTCCTGTGCTGGCTGTCTACATTCTGAATTGGCTCAAAAGTGTCCCCCTTCCTCAGAAGAAGGGGGACTTGGAAAATTTTCTCTTGCCAGTTCTGTCTTTGGTATTCAGCTAGTTTGGAACGTTAAGGAAGCTGCCTCTGGGCTGGCTGCAGTGGGATTGGTGGAGGGAACTTGTTTTTCTCCTTTATTGTGCCAGACTGTGAGATTGACCTTGACATTCCTAAGCTATTATGAGTTCAGAAAGGCTGAGACGTGGTTCTAAAACTCCACAATTTGAGGAGTCGGTGATGTCCATGTTAGCTGACATAAAAAAGGTTTAGATTGTAATACAGCAAGCATAGATAATTTGGAAAAGAAGATTGAACATTGAAGTACTGACATGAAAGACGAGAAAAAGGAAATAACCACACATGATCCAAGGTTGGCACAGCTGGAGACTGTTACAGTGCCAGACTTGGAACGGTTGCAGTATGAAAATGCTAATTTGATCGCCTTCCTTCTGTTGAAAGAAAAAGAATCGTATTTGAGATTGAGGGGGGTCCCCTTTCTGGAAGAAGAAAAACTCAGAATCTCTGATAGGATTTTTTGTGGAATATTGGGACCTGAAAAAAGAGGAAGTGGAAGCTTGGGTAGAGAAAGCGTACAGATTTGGGCCTAAAAAGGAGACTAAAATAACTTATGATTGCATAGTGGTCTTCAAGACTAAGGAGCAAAGAGACATTAGTTTGGGACATCAGTATAAAAAAGCCTTAAAATCCATGACAAAGTGGTGGTGCTCTTTAAAGAGATCCCACGTCGATTTTTGAACCTGAGATCCCAATATAAGGATTTGACAGACATTCTGAGACGAAAGAACATCTTTCTTAGGTGGGAATTTCCAAAGGGCCTATCCTTCAAATTCGAAGGAAGAAAGCAAAAGATGAAGACTGTTGGAGAGAAGGATAGATTTCTGCAAAAGCACTCGGAAGAACTTGGATTACAAAGCTCACAGCCGCTGGGGGCGGAGGCAGCTTCCCCCTAATTAGACAGCATGGCATTGAGAATTTATTCATGGAATGTAAATGGAATGAACTCAACCCCAAAAAGGAGACAAATTTATTATATTTTGGGAAAACAGAATTTAGATATAATTTGTTTACAGGAAACTCACATTACAAGACTACATAGGAAAACATTGATAAATAAAAGATTGGGTCAAGAATTTATTTCTTCAGACAAAGTCAAAAAAAGAGGAGTGGTTTTCTATATTCAAGAAAAATGGAATCCAAAATTGGCATTTAAAGATGAGGAAGGAAGACACATAGCAGTTGAAATTACAGCACAAGGCGAAAAATATTTGTTATTAGGAATCTACGCACCTAACGATGGCAAAGTGGAATTCTTTAAGAACCTGGAAACAAGTCTCTTGGAATATATGGATTACAAATTAATATTGATGGGGGACTTGAATGGGGTTGCATCTACTTTGATGGACAGGACTCAGAGATCAAAGGTATCAAACTGGCAGATTACCTAAGACTTTCTTTGACCTAACTGACAAATTTGATTTGTCAGACATATGGAGAACCAGAAATCCAATGGAAAAAGACTTTACTTTTTTTTTCCAGATGCAAACCAAGTATTTTCAAGAACAGACTGCCTATGGATATCTAGAGACTTGGTTCCTAAAGTAACAAAAATGGAAATTTGCCCCAAAACTTGCACCGATCATAATGCAGTTCTTATGGATTTGAAGATGTTTGTACAGGGTTCCTTCAGATGGAGAATGAATGATGACTTGCTGAGAAGTGCTTCAATTGTTAACAAGGCCCAAAAAACCCTCTAGGACTATTTTGAGCGTAATATGACCCAAGGAATGGAAACAACGGTTATTTGGCGACTTCCGGGGTGGCGCCTCCGGAAAATGGCGGAATTCCCTTCGAACTGAAGGGAACCCGCTGCACGGAGGCTTGGGTCCTGCCGCTACGGCGCAGCGGGGCCCCTTAAAAACCACAGGCGGAAGAAGCCTGTGGGCGTGGGACTCGGCGGGCACCGAGAGCGCTCTCCCCTTGTACAGGAGCCCGGCAACGGGCTCCGGAGCGGGAGGTGCGTGGTGCTGTGAGTCGACTGCTTCCTCCGTGCAGCAAAGCCGCACTGCCGTTTTCGGAGAGCGCTGCCTTCTTCTTGGACAATTTGGCATCTAAAATATCTATCCGTGAGTACCTGATCTTGGAAGAGCTGAACTACTTTTAAGATTGGAGAATAAATAAATAGCATTGGATTTGGACTTGAAATTGAACTTAATTGGGACTCGGAACGGAAAGGTCTAAACAGGAAGTCACCCTTCCGTTCTTTTGTTACGTGAAGAAAGCAAAGACAAATTATACTGAAGCTTGAAAATTAAATTCTGAGAGAACTAAAATTCAACATCTAAGATTTCTGAACCCCCCTTTGACTGCAGGAGAAGAAGGGGGTGGTTTTGGTTTTTTTTTTACCCTGCGGAAGTGAGTTTAAAATAAAGTAATTTTCCACCGCCCTGAACCAGGAGCGGGCTGTCAGAATTGACGTTTTGAAGCTTATCCAGCTCGACAGATAGTTAAAAGAAGGGTAACATTTTGACTCTACTGTTGCTTCTTAGGGGGAATTTTGGATAAAGTGTTTTTGGAAAAAGTAAGATTGTTGCAAAAGAAAAATTTGTTCCATCTAGTGGAACTGAGTGAAATTGCAATGCAGAGAGTTTAAAAAGAAGAGCTATTCTCGTGGGAAAGAATATTTTTTGACCTTGAAGGACAATGCTTGTACAAAGGCTTGAACAAGTGTTCCTGGAAGGTTTTGCAAAATTAAGTGCCCAGCTGGACCAGATGCGTCAGGAGTCGACCTTGATGATGGAAGTTACCAGAGCACAGCAGCAAACAAATGAAATTCAGTTAAAGTCTATACAAGTATATGAACCTGCTGTAGCGACGGAGGCTTCAGAGATGGAGGGATCATTGGATGGGCAAGATCAGCCTTTGAACTTGATAAATGAACTTGGTGCAAATCTGATGGGCCATCAGAAGATTGGAGTAGTCGAAGTCTCCAAGCTCTGTGGAAAATGGAACTGGCATTATCTGCTCTCTGGCTTGGGTAATGGGTCTGGAATGGACTTGCTGCAAAGAGTTAAAAGCATCTTTTTGCTGGAGTCTCCACGACTGAAAGGGAAATATCAACAAGAGCGGCGAAAGGGGCAAGAAAGAGACTTGAGGGCCTCGGATACGAGACAACCAGGTTAACGAGCTGGATTATTGAGGTTAAAAGGACTGACAATCTTGGGTCCTGGGGAGGGGAGGTTGGAAGCTGACTGGACCGAATTTGACTTATTATTTTTTCTTTCTTATTTCTTAATATTGGGAATGTTTATAAATGTTTGAAGGGTGTTGAATGAAATTATATGGCTTAAGTAAGGATTGGTAAATGATTTGTAAAAAGGTAATGATGTAAGAATTTGCTAAATATTGAATATTGAATTAAAGTTTTTATATGACAAGAGGGAAAATAGAATAAGGAAATGTAATGATAGATTGTTGTGGAAAAAAAGGACAGAAAGGATTTGCTGTGAAAATTAAAAACTAAGAAACAAGAGAGGGGAGGAGGAGGAAGTCTAGAAAGGAAGTTAATGGAGATCGTAAAGAACTACATATTTCTGTTTTTCTGTTTTTCTTTTTTTTCTTTTTTGCGGCTGGGTTTTCTTTTCTTTTTCTTTAATATCTTTGTATTACTTTTGTTATTTTTGTATTTTCAATTTTCTTTTTGGAAATTTTTGTTGTTACTCTTTGAAAACTCAATAAATATCAATTATGAAAAAAAAAGAAAAAAAAAAAAAAGGAAACAACGGTTATTTGGGATGCCAGCAAAGCAGTAATGAGAGGGTTTCTGACACAACAAAATTCAATTAGGAAAAAGTCACAGAATGAGAGAAAAGATGAAATTATGGAACAACTAAAAGACAAAGAGAAGAAGCTTAGAGGAAACCCAAAGAATTTGCAGATTCAAAAAGAAATCAAGGCCTTACAGGTTCAATATTCACAGTTAGTAAATCAAGAAATAGAATGGAAGTTGAGAAGGATGAGCCAAAGAAATTTTGAATCTGCAGATAAATGTGGGAAATTATTAGCCTGGCAATTAAAGAAGAAACAAAAGCAAAGTACTATCACAAACATTGTAACAGAAGGGAAATCTATAGAGAACCCTGCAGATATAAGAAAATGTTTTTACAAATATTATAAACAACTGTATAAAAAGGACAAAGAGGATTTGGTAAAAATTGAGCAATTTATAAAGATTAATGGTTTGCAGCAGATTCCGGAAGATAAAAAGATCCTACGAAAAGGCCTAATTACAAGACAAGAAGTGGAACAGGCAATAAACTCAAAGCAACTTGGCAAGGCACCGGGACCTGATGGTCTATCAGCGAAATATTACAAGACATTGAAAGATTGGCCTTTCAACCCCTGGTAGAAGTAGATCCAATGTTAAAAACTATAGACCAATCTCCCTACTCAATGTGGATTATAATTTTTTGCAAATATAATGACTAACAGGCTAAAGAAGGTTTTATCTAAGTATATCCACAAGGACCAGGCAGGATTTCTGCCTGGAAGACATACGAAAGACAACATTACAAATGTGTTGGATATCCTGGAAAAGCTGGAAGCAAGAAAGAGTTGTAAAGCAATGTTAATGTTTATTGATGCAGAGAAGGCCTTTGACAATATATCTTGGAGTTTATGTTATATAATTTTGAGAGTATGGGGGTGGGCAAAGATTTTTAAATGGTATTAAAGGGATCTATCAGGAACAAAAAGCTAAAATTAATGTAAATAATGTGGTTTCGGAGGAAATTAGAATTGAGAAGGGAACCAGTTAAGGGTGCCCACTTTCCCTCTGCTGTTTATTTCAGTTCTTGAGGTCTTGCTAAGTATGATTAGAAAGGATGAACAAATTAAAGGTATTACAGTAGGATCCAAACAATACAAATTAAAAGCCTTTGCGGATGACCTAGTATTGACATTACAAGATCCAGACTCCAGTGCGGCCAAAGCCCTGGAGCTGATACAAGAGTTTGGTCTGGTAGCAGGATTTAAATTAAACAAGAGCAATACCAAAGTATTAGAGAAAAATCTGGATAATGATGAAGGAAAATTATTACAAGAAAAGACGAGCCTAGATATTGTGAAAAAAGTTAAATACTTGGGGGTGAATCTGTCTGGGGAAAATTTGAACTTATATGAAGACAATTATGAGAAATTATGGAACGAAATCAAGAGAGATTTGGAGATATGGTCAAATTTAAAATTGTCATTAATGGGCCGGATTTCAGCGATTAAGATGAATGTGTTGCCAAAGATGCTTTTTCGTTTCAAGCCCTACCAATTATACACAATGTAAAATTATTTAAAGAATGGCAGAAAGCTCTGTCTAGATTTATCTGACTGGGGGGGGGGGACCTAGAATTAAGTATAAATTACTCACAGACTCTAAAGAAAGAGGGGGATTTTCTCTGCCAGATCTAAAAATCTATTTTGAAGCAGCAGCATTCTGCTGGATTAAAGAGTGGATGCAACTAGAAGATACAGATCTATTAGATTTGGAGGGTTTTGACAATGTGTTTGGTTGGGATGCATATTTATGGTATGATAAGGTAAAGGCCCATAATGCTTTCAAAAATCATGTAATTAGGAAATCGTTGTATAATGTTTGGATAAAATATGAAGATCTTTTAGAAAGAAAGACACCCAGATGGCTTTCACCAATGGAGGCAAAGGCCCAGAAATAGTTAGATATGGATACCAAATGGTTGAGATATTCTGATTTATTGTTGGAAGATGAAGAAGGATATAAATTAAAACCATTTGAACAAATTAAAGATAAGTTAAACTGGTTACATTACCACCAAATTAATTGTATAAAATGGATAAGAAAAATGGTTTTGCTTCTGAAAAATCCAAGGTGGAGACGCAGTAGTTGGATAATAAAGGTAAAAAATTTGTCGAAAATGTATAAGTTAATTGTTGGAGTGGCATACAGAAGATGAACAAGTTAAATCTGTGATGATAGATTGGGCAAGAGACGTAGGACACAATATAATGTTTGAGGATTGGGAAAGACTGTGGAAGAAAGGGGTAAGGTTCACTGCATGTACAGTGGTACCTCGGGTTACATACGCTTCAGGTTACAGACTCCGCTAACCCAGAAATCGTGCTCAGCAGCAGCAGGAGGCCCCATTAACTAAGTGGTGCTTCAGGTTAAGAACAGTTTCAGGTTAAAAACAGACCTCCGGAACAAATTAAGTACTTAACCCAAGGTACCACTATACTGTGTTAAAGGAAAATATAATGAAAATGATGTACACATGGTATTTGACTTCTGTTAAATTAGCAAAGATATATCATAACTGTGATCATTTATGTTGGAAATGCAAAGAAAAGGAAGGAACTTTTACCACATGTGGTGGACCTGCCCCAAGGTGAAAGACTTCTGGGAAAATATTTATAATGAACTGAAAATAATGTTGAAATATACATTTATAAAGAAACCAGAGGCCTTTCTTCTTGGAATAACGGGTTTGGAATTGCTCAAGAAAGATCTTAAGTTGTTTTTGTATGCAACAACTCTTGCTCGAATATTATTAGCTAAAGAGTGGAAAACCCAAGAATTATCGATGGTGGAAGAATGGCAGATGAAGATGATGGATTTTTCGGAGCTAGCTGACCTAACTGGAAGAGTCTGCTACCAGAAGAAGGAGGAGTATCCGGAAGAATGGACAAAATTTTATGATTATTTAGCTAAATTTGTGAAGTTAAATTAATTGGAAATAGCTTGCAGGAAACAGATTGGCTTAGGAATTAATATAAGTTAAGTGATGCTGAACATGTTTAATTTTGAATTGATAAGATATAAGGATGTTAATAGACTAAGTTAAGTTCATAAGAATTATGATTTGGAAAGCCGTTAAAAGGATATGCATGGAAATTCAACCAAGGGGAAGCGAGGAAGTCACTTAACAATGTTAATAAGTGTAATTTTAATAAGGTTATGATTTTTGTCTGTTTGTTTGTTTATAATTTTGTGAAAATTAATTAAAAATTTTTTGGGGAAAAACCTGTTTTTGTATGCAACTAGTGCAGGAGGAATATTACTAGCCCAAAGATGGAAGCAAGAAGAAATACCAACAAAAGAGGAGTGGCAAATAAAATTGATGGACTACGCCGAGCTGGCAAGACTTACAGGGAAAATTGAAACCAGCAGGACCAGACTTTTGAAAAGGACTGGAAGAAATTTACCGTATTTTTTGCTCCATAAGACTCACTTTTTCCCTCCTAAAAAGTAAGGGGAAATGTGTGTGCGTCTTATGGAGCGAATGCAGGCTGCGCAGCTATCACAGAAGCCAGAACAGCAAGAAGGATTGCTGCTTTTGCTGCGCAGCGATCCTTCTTGCTGTTCTGGCTTCTGAGATTCAGAATATTTTTTTTTCTTGTTTTCCTCCTCCAAAAACTAGGTGCGTCTTGTGGTCTGGTGCGTCTTATAGAGCGAAAAATACGGTATGTTGTATTTGAAAGACAATAGTAATTACTTAACATCACTTGTAGATTTGCAAGAAGCTTTGTAAGGTGGACTATTCAAATTTTTGTGAAAAGGACTAAGATTAGCTGATTTTTGTGTGTGTGTGAAAAGGACTAAGATGATGTAAGACTGGATTTACAACAATAAGCATAGTAATGCATAACTAAAAAAACCTTTAGAAGGGGTTGAAGGAAGTCCAGGGCTGTGACAGCCAAAAATTTGTTATGTTGTGTTGGAAAATCTGTGTAAAATTTAATAAAAAATATTAAAACAAAAAGAAATGGCCTTAACAGATTGGAGAACTGGGCACAAGCTAACCAGATGAATTTCAACAGGGACAAATGTATTATAAGGTTGTGGACTTAGGCAGGAAGAACCAGATGCACAAATATAGGATGGGGGAGACCTGGCTTACTAGCAGTGCATTTGAAAAGGATCTAGGGGTCTTGGTGGACCTCAAGCTCAACATGAGTCCACACTGTGATGCAGCAGCAAAAAGCTAATGCTGTTCTAGGCTGCATCCACAAAAGTCTAGCGTCCAGATCAAGAGAAGTCAAAGTCCTGCTCTCTTCTGCCTTGGGCAGACCACACCTGGAAACGGTGTCCACTTCTGGTCACCACAGTTTAATAAGAAGTATGTGGACAAGCTGGAAGGTGTGCAGAGGAGGGAGACCAGGGTGATCAAGGGTCTGGAAGGTAAGCCGTATGAGGAGCGGTTGAAGGAGCTGGGTATGATCAGCCTGGAGAAGAGGAGACGGAGAGGAGATACGATAGCCATCTTCAAATATCTCAAGGGTTGTCCCATGGAAGAGGGAACAACCTTGTTTTCTCCTGCTCTGGAGGGTAGGAGTCAAACCAATGGCTTCAAGTATCAAGAAAGGAGATTCCAACTAAATGTTCAGAAAAGCTTTCTGACAGTAAGAGCTGTTTGGCAGTGGAACGGTCTCTCTTGGGAGAAGGTGGACTCTCCTTCCTTGGAGGTTTTGAAGCAGAGGTTGGATGGCCCTCTGTCCTGCTGAGATTCCTGCATTGCAGGGGGTTGGACTAAATGACCCTTGGAGTCCCTTACAGCCCTGTGATTCAGTTTCTGGATCTCTTGTGTTATGTACTGAGTTGAATAGGATCCAAAATGCAGCAGTCTGGGGGCCACTAGGGGGCGCATTGGAAGATGGCCCACAATACCATCTCTCCGACCCACACGGGGAAATTAAGAGGCTGTTATGGGAGTAGGCAGCCTCCCTTGTTGCCCCAAGGAAATGGGGGACACTGCCCTTGCCTGCTGTGCCCATAAATCACCCCTTAATTCGAAAGAAGGGGGTGAGGGCCCTAGGCAGAATGCCCCTGTGTGGACCTCGGCTCTCCTGGACGCTGTCTCTGATCGGGCACTAGTTTCAGCAATTTGGAATAATTAATTACAAAAGAAGCAAATGCACATATTTCAAGTGAAGAAGGGGAGTGAAGTCTGCTAATTTACCTAAGTGACCTCTGCGAAAGAAGACGACGGGCTGGAGAAACAGGAATATTTTACGATGAAGATACACTAAAGGCGCGGTATGTTGACAACGGGGCTGGATGGGGGGGGGGCTTTTTTACTTTCCTTTTATGTGATTTACAAGAACCCCTCCTCATTAGAACCGTCGGTTGAACTGACCCAAGCAGGATGATTAAGGTCTGTGTGGAGATAAACTTTAACCAAAAGTATGCTTTATGGAGACCGAGAAGCAATAAGAGCTTTTGGGAATGGCGCAGCAATTAATTCGGAGTCACCATCTTGCCAAAGGATTTATAGCCGGGAGGAAGAATGGACTTGTTTTCAGACTGCATTCCTAGTGAATCTCCTCAGAGGTTTTGAGGAAGGAGGCAGATTGGTGAAGATTAATGACGCTAAGACTGTTTTGATGTATGGAAGTGATGTTATATGGAAAACGTCTAGATATGGCTACTGGATTAAAAAAAAATATATCCACGCAGGATTACAAACTGTTCTAACCAGCTTGCGGAGACTATCAGAGGTCACAAAGAGAAAGGAAAAATATATGAAAATAACAACAAGAGATGTGGAAAAATAATAAGAAAGGACTGGATAGTACTGTGAACATCGTAAGGTTAGATTTGTGGACATTAAAACAGCAGTAAGAAGCAAGAAGTTGATTGGATCCCTTCGAACTTGAAATATGGGTACCCCCAACAAAAATTTGAAATTCGGCTGTGTAATTTGGAATTTATGTAATTTGGTTTGATTTGATGTGATTGGTCGCTTAATTAAAAATTATTCTTAAAAAACAAAAACAAAATGCAGCAGTCTGATTGGTCCGCAGGAGCCACCCAATTCAACTCCAGGTGGAAGTGAATCAGCAACCTGATTGGCCTACAGGAGAATCCTGGAATTAGCCAATCACATGCAACCCATTGTGTAAATAATGTATATAAAGCAGATACTTTGGGGGAACTTTCATTCCTCACTATTATGAGCTGAATAAAGAGCATGAAATCCACACACGACTCCGAGCATATTTCATCTTGGCTCTTGCAAAGCCAACCTGCTCTGCTAGTAACTCGGCATGTGGGCCTCAGTGCAAGGACGGCTGTCGTAACTTGTGTGTTGCACGAACTCTTTAGGCGGCATGGTGTTGGCACCAGGCTGGGGAGTGGGCTGAAACAGTCGATTGGGCAGCGGTCCCTCTTAATGGATGCCACGTGGCTGTTGCATCAAAGTGTCGGCTCCCCTGACATACCTCCTGTTACAGGAACATCCCCCAGGCTCACTTGGATTGTCAAACAAAGACCCCAGTCAAGAGTATTGGAGCAAAACAGCAGCCACTTAGCCTGATCTTTATTGTTGCAATAAGACTTCAAACTACCACATGGAAGAAGCAGGAAGAAGCACTGGACAAAGGAAGGCTCCTCTTCTTCCCTGGGGGGTGGCGAGATCAGCAGGAGGCGGCCGCTTCTCCCTGGGGGTGTGTCAGTGGGACCGGCAGGCCAGCGCATGTGCCACCACCCCAACCAGCTTGTGGAAGGCATGGTGGTAAGCAGGGCTAAATTCCTTCCCAAAGTCGGCAGCCAGGAGGGTGATGAGGACTTCGCCCTGGTGCTAGAAGAGAAAAGAGAGGGTGACTCCTTTTGCCAGGGGGCTCATGTGTGGGTCGCCCTCTACCCACAACAGATCCCACAACGGATTCAACAGACTGAGGTTGAATGCTGAAAAGACAGAAGTACTGTTCTTGGGGGACAGGGAACGGGCAGGTGTGGGGGACTCCCTGGTCCTGAATGGGGCTACTGTGCTTCTGTAGGACCAGGTGCACAGCCTGGGAGTCATTTTGGACTCACAGCTGTCCATGGAGGTGCAGGTTAATTCTGTGTCCAGAGAGGCTGTCTCCCAGCTCCATCTGCTACACAGGATGAGACCCTCCCTGACTGTCTGGCCAGAGTGGTGCATGCTCTAGTTATCTCCCACTTGGACTACTGCAATGCACTCTATGTGGGGCTACCTTTCAAGGTGATACGGAAACTGCAACAAATCCAGAATGCGGCAGCTAGACTGGTGCCTGGGAGGGGCTGCTAAGACTGCCGACCACAATTCAAAGTTTTGGTGTTGACCTTGAAAGCCCTAAAAGGCCTCAGCCCTTTATACCCACAGGAGCGTCTCCACCCCCATTGTTCAGCCCAGACTCTGAGGTCCAGATCCTGGGGCCCATATTTTGAACGCAGCTCTGGCACAGGGATGGGGAACCTGAGGTCTTCCGGATGTGGTCTGACTCTGCTTCCCATTGGCAGGCAGTGGGCTCCCAATCCCTGCCCTTGTTGAACCTCCCTGTCTTCCTACCCCTGCCGCTTCCAACTCTCCCTCTGCTGTTCTCTCCCCACGCTGTCAAACCTGAATGTGAGCTCCCTGGGGCAGAGTCCTGTCCTACATTCCAAGGGCCCTCAATTGACAAATGGTGAAGTAATAATCATCATAATAATCATCATCTGTAAGTGCACTTAATTATCCTCAATGGGCTTAATTATCCTCAAGCTTTAATTAAGCGTTAATTAATTAAGCGTTAATTAATTATGGATAATTAAGATAATTATCCTTAATTATCCTCCCATCATGGCTGCGGGTGGGGACAACACCCATCACCCTCATGCCCTGGCTGACCACCATCAGTGACAGAGCACTGGGCTAAATGGATCTTGGTCCAATCTGACAGGGCATTTTCAAATTTCCCAGGAACGCGCCCCAAAGCCCTGCCAGAGGTATCTATTCCTCTGTGATGGGAGTTACCTGTGAGTAAAAAGGTAAAGGTAAAGGGACCCCTGACCATTAGGTCTAGTCATGGCATGACTCTGGGGTTGTGGCGCTCATCTTCCTTTATTGGCTGAGAGCAGCTGGCATATAGCTTCCGGGTCATGTGGCCAGCATGACTAAGCCGCTTCTGGTGAACCAGAGCTGCGCACGGAAACACTGTTTACCTTCCCACCGGAGCGGTACCTATTTATCTACTTGCACTTTGACATGATTTTGAACTGCTGGGTTGGCAGGAGCAGGGACCGAGCAATGGCAGTTCACCCCGTCGCGGGGATTTGAACCGCCGACCTCCTGATCCGCAAGTCCTAGGCTCTGTGGTTTGACCCACAGCGCCACCCGTATCCCAGTACCTGTGAGTAAGACCCATCAAATTCAAGAAGACACCCCTCTAGCTAGACACGCCGACAACTGCGCTGTTACTTGTTGCCCTTAAATCCCATATATATTGGCCATGATTAACTTGATCTTGATGAGTTCTAAGCTCAACAAACTTAGTTTGGATTCCACTGTATGTTCTTATCTGTCAAATGGGAATAATAGGGACTTCCTTTGAAGGACTGTGCTAGATTATTCATTGCTAACCATCAGGCAGCATTTCTGGGCTTCTCAGAGGTGCCTAATCCATTGCCCCGTTATGCTCCTGATGAGCTTTGCAAGTTGCAGCGCCATTAAGAAAGGCCATGCTAGTCCGCCATGACAAGTGCTGCTAGAGAAAGCAGCGATGGAAGGGGTGTCCTTTGCGGAGGATTCACCCAGCACACGCTTGAGCTCATGGGGAAAGAACACATGCCCCCCAGACCGTGGCTGAATTCATTCCCAAGAACCCAAAGGACAGGCTGTCCCCCAGACGGCACCCAGCGGACAACTGAGCAGATCTCCCACTGAAGATTCATCCTTGCTACCAACCTTGGGGCGTGTAGTCGTGTAAAAGTGTCAGCGGTCTCTTAACAGAAATATAAACTCAAGAAACCTACGGCACCCAAAGTTATTTAGTGCAAGGAGCAGGAGTGATTTGCAGGTGATTTAAGTTTCTGGTGTTGATGCACCATAATTCCTTAGCAAAAGCAAATCAAAACATTAGTGGAGTAACTGGTGCATTGCAAAGCATAAAAGACCCTCAACGTTGATATGAAAGGCACTTGAGTTGGGTTTCTATGTCCTGTTGCTGCCTGGTTTTTTGACTGACCAGTTGCCAGATGCAGGGCTGGGGAAAGTTCTGAACAAAACCAAACCAGAAACACTTTCCTGTGAGAAAACAGCACCAAAGGTCTTGTGCATGATCAGGGCCTGAAAGCTGCCCGTCAATCAGCTGTCTTCCTCTTTGGCAGAGGGAATTGCTAGCCTGATGGACGGCCCTCTTATCATCAGAGAAATGCTGGAGGGTATGTGATCCTGGCTGCTGAAGATGGCTGGAAGGTCGTTTGTCCCGTCAGCTGGATGAGCTGATCTGCAGAGCCAAGAGGGCTCTCTGGGCCGTCTATAACTGAGGATCTGGGCTTCAGTTCCCCAACTGAAGCGGAAGGTAAGCCAGAGCAGTTGCTCTTTTGCTCAGCCTGTTAGATAAATCAACAGTCGTGTCTATGAGCGTTTAGGAAAAGATGCTGCGATTACTGAGACCCAGCATAGGTTTCCCAAAATAAGTCAGCCAGACCAATCTGATTGATTTTTTCTCTTTTCTAGACAGAGGTACAAACTTGGTGGATCAGGGGAATGCTGTGGACATAGTGTATCTTGAATTCAGTGAGGCTTTTGACAAAATCCCCCATGATATTCTAGCGAGGAAGCTGTTGAAATGGAGGTTGAACAAGGTAACTATTTGGTGGATTGGTAGATGGTTGACAGACCAAACCCAAAGAGGACTCCTTAATGGTTCCTCATCAACCTGGGGAGAAGTGATAAGTCGTGTGCGCAGTGTGCTGTCCTGGGTCTGTTGTTGTTTGACGTCTTTATAAAGGACCTGGATGAAGGAATTGAGGGGATGCTCATCCAATTTCCAGATGACACCAAACTGGGAATGGTAGCTAATGCCGCAGAAAACACAATCGGGATTCAAAATGACCTTAACAGACATTCAAAAACTCTTTCAGATCATAATCCAATTTTGTGTGAAATTATAGGAATAGACTTTTCGTTGGAGACTGAATGATAATTTATTAGATGATCAAGAAATATATGAAAAAGCAGAAAAGACTTGAAAAGACTATTTTATGCATAATTGGAATGGAGAAATAAAAATCAGTGTAATGTGGGGGAGACCTGGCTTACTAGCAGTACATGTGAAAAGGATCTAGGGGTCTTGGTGGACCACAAGCTCAACATGAGTCCACAGTGTGATGCAGCAGCAAAAAAAGGGAATGCTATTCTAGTCTGCTTCCACAGAAGTCTAGTGTCCAGATCCAGGGAAGTCACAGTCCTGCTCTCTTCTGCCTTGGTCTGACCACACCTGGAACACTGTGTCCACTTCTGGCCACCACAGTTTAAGAAGGATGTGGACAAGCTGGAAGGTGTGCAGAGGAGGGAGACCAGGGTGATCAAGGGTCTGGAAGGCAAGCCGTATGAGGAGCGGTTGAAGGAGCTGGGTATGTTAAGCCTGGAGAAGAGGAGACGGAGAGGAGATATGAGAGCCATCTTCAAATATCTCAAGGGTTGTCCCATGGAGGAGGGAGCGTGCTTGTTTTCTCCTGCTCTGGAGGGCAGGACTCGAACCAAAGGCTTCAAGATGCAAGAAAGGAGATTCCGGCTGATCATTTGGAAACACTCTCTGACAGTAAGAACAGTTCAGCAGTGCAACAGACTCCCACAAGCGGAGGTGGACTCTCCTTCCTTGGAGGTTTTTAAACAGAGTTTGGATAGCCAACTGCCAGGGATGCTTCAGCTGAGATTCCTGCGTTGCAGGGGGCTGGACTAGATGACCCCTGGAGTCCTTACAGGTCTACGATTAAGTTTCTGGATCTCTTGGCTCTTGCAAACCCAACCTGCTCTGCTAGTAACTCGGCACGTGGGACTCAGTCCAAGGACGGCTGTCGTAACTTGTGTGTTGCGCAAACACTGTGGGCTGCATGGCGTTGGCACCAGGCTGGGGAGTGGGCTGAAACAGTCGATTGGGCAGCGGTCCCTCTTAATGGATGCCACGTGGCTGTTGCATCAAAGTGCCGGCTGCCCTGACATACCTCTCCATCTGGTGAAGATAGGGACATCCTATTCCATAAGAGAATATAAATCATGCCCTACCCATCTGACTGGGTTGCCGCAGCCACTCTTAGCGGCTTCCAACATATACAAAAACACAACAAAACATTCAAAAACTTCCCTTTCCAGGGCTGCCTTCAGATGTCTTCTAAAGGTCGTATAGTTACTTATTTCCTTGGCTCGGGGGTTGCATAACTCCATACCCTCCACCATTTCCCTGGTGAAAACAGGGATATCCTAAGGGAAAGTGGGACATTCCGGGATCAAATCAGAAACTGGGAAAGAGGGGCGCTTGGAAGGCCTGCCTTGAATGTCATGCTTAGAACTAGGAGTAGTCTCTCGTTTATCAATCCTCGTTGTGTCCTAGTAATCTGCGAAGGAGTTTGGGATATGGGTCTTCTTGTCCCAATTAATCCCCACAAAGACCCTGGGAGGAGGGACAGTCCAAAAAACAGCCGAGCTTTTGGCGGGGTTCGAGCGCAAGTCTCCTTGCCCCTTTATCCTGCACCCGACGACAGCTGCCTCTCCTTCAACACTCCCCAAGTCCATGGCACATATTGGGCTGCTTCTGTTTTCAATGTGCATTTCGTGTTTTTACGTTGTGCTTTTATCCTGTAAACCGCCTGAGACCTGCGGGTATAGGGTGGCCTCCCAATTTGAGATGATGATGATGCAGTCCTATCAAGGCGCCTTGTAGCTGCCTCTCCTCTCCACTCAGAGCTCCCCTTGCTTTCTTCACAGGGCTGGAACAGGAGCTGCTCAGGCATCCCTTTCTGGAAGGCTGTGGTGCACGGTCCCTGATTCAGGGTCCTGATCCTGCAGCCCCTTCTCTTCACCACCCATGGGCTCTCCCCCCCCTCCTGGCTTGCTGCATGAGCTCCATATGCAGGGATGATTTTGCAGATCTGCCCAGCCTCCTGCTGAGTCAGGCCTGGCTCCCCCTGATAGCTCCGGCTGCAAGAGGCCGACCTGTTGCTCAGGAGGAGGTGAAAATGACTCTGCTGCAGATCACCCAAGCAGCAGCGATTCTGACACAGCAAAAATAAACTTTCGCCAAGTGAGCATTGGAATTAAAGGAGCATAACTCAGTCTGCAGGAGCATCGCTGGTTGTTGGCGAAACTCGTTTGACAACAGAGAGAAACTGAACCTTTCATGTCCTCAGGTCAGTGGAACTCTCTGCCACTGGAGATTCAGGGGGCACCTTCCATGCAAAGCTGTAGTTGCCTGCTGAAAACATTTCTATTCCTCCCAGACTGTGCAGGCAATTAAGAACGCATCGTTTTGCAAATGGTTAATTGATGTCTGTTGTTCACTTTTTCAAAGATTAAACAGGTATTATGTCTTTACTGATGTAAATCTCTTGGATATAGTTTTGTATGACACAGTGGTGTACAAATATTTTTATAAATAAATATGAAATGTTTTTTTTAAATACATATGAATGAAGGAAATAAACAAATGAGGAGAGCTGGGCTCCCGTTCCTCCCACTGGCCAACCAGATGTCCAACGGAAGCCCCCCCGCCCCCTCCCCCTCCCGTGCTTTGCTCTCCCCTCCCCCAGTCACAGGCACTCAGTGGCTCAGACCATATCCCCTCAACTGTGCCAGAACAAACGGGACATCTCATATTTCCCTGTGTGAGCATGGCAGTCATTTGGGGCCCCCTGCTCTCAGGCGATGTTGGAATGCGATCTCCCCTCAAAAAAGCACATTGGGGGGACCAGGGACCTTGTGTGGGTCACGTGATTCACGCAGGAGTGCGGCCCCAGAAGATGGGGTCCCGCTTTCCCCCCATGTGGCATTTGACAGTGTGCCATGGGCTGGCTTAAAGGAGCCTGGTAGCCACTGTGCCCAAGGTCCACGGAAAGGTCGTCTTCTGCTGCTGTGAATGTAATATCTTATTCTGAAATATTGTTTTGAGTTTCGGGTGGGTGGCTTAGCCTGTATGATGCTGGAGCGAGTCCCTTCTCATTCCTGGACCCAGCGAGGGTTGAAATCCTTTGCTGAAGGAGCCAGACAGCTTTCTGGGCCAGCGAATGGCCTGAGGGTGCAAGGAAGGCGCTTGCTCTGCGCCCGAGGACACCTGGCTGGCAGTCAGAAGGACAAAAGCCACAGGGGGAGCGGCTGCTTCCAAGCCTGGGACTGGGGGAGAACCTCGCCTCTGCTTCGTCTGGGAGACAGGGATTTCCATCAAGTTAATCATGTTAATCATGGCCAATAAAAATGGGATTTAAGGGCAACAAGTAACAGCGCAGTTCTCGGCGTGTCTAGCTAGATGGGTGTCTTCTTGAATTTGATGGGTCTTACTCACAGGTAACTCCCATCACAGAGAAATAGATACCTCTGGCAGGGCTTTAGGGCGAGTTCCTGGGAAATTTGAAACTGCCCTGTCCGATTGGATCAAGCTCCATTTAGCCCAGTGCTCTGTCACTGATGGTGGTCAGCCAGGGCATGAGGGTGGTGGGTTTTGTCCCCACCCTCAGCAAGGATGGGGAAACCCAAATCTTCTCAGGCTCTGTACTCAACGTACAGTGAAAGCACATGATTCCCCCCCAAAGACTTCTGGGAAGTGTAGTTTACCCCCTCAAAGAGCCACAGTACTTAACAAACTGCAGCTCCCGTGATTCAGCTGGAAGCTCAATCTCTTTCTTCAGTGCTGGAGATGGGACAATGTTCTCTCCTGCACCTGAAGGCAGCAAGCCAGCTTGGGGGTGGCAGGCTGTGTTTGTCCTACGATGCCTCACCACTGTGTCCTCCAGCCCAGCATCTGCCCCTGAAGCAGCCACCTCGCTCCCAATGACAGGGGTGGCCCTGGGCAATCCTGGCCACATGCCCTGATCTGTACCAGGGCCCAAGAAAGCATTGCAAACAGAGTTGCAATCGCTTGAGGATAATTGAGCCCATTGAGGATAATTAAGTGCACTTACAGATGATGATTATTACTTCACCATGTATCAATTGAGGGCCCTTGGAATGTAGGACAGGACTCTGCCCCAGGAGCTCACATTCAGGTTTGACAGCGTGGGGAGAGAACAGCAGAGGGAGAGTTGGAAGCGGCAGGGGTAGGAAGACAGGGAGGTTCAACAAGGGCAGGGATTGGGAGCCCACTGCCTGCCAATGGGAAGCAGAGTCAGACCACATCCGGAAGACCTCAGGTTCCCCATCCCTGAGCAAGAGCTTCATTCGAAATATGGGCTTTGAAGCAGATGAGGTGTACAAAAGGGAGCAGGAATGACGAAAGAATTGGAGACTTCTAAAGTGACCCAAAGTCATACAACCAGAAAAGTTGAGGCCACAGGCAGACATTTCTCAGGAGAAAGATGATTCTGCGCCCCTTGAAAGGTCACCTGAATCAGTCAAGGCAAATACACACAATCAAGTTTTATAGGCTTGAGAAAATTTAACAAACAATTGCAGAATTCTGGGGACTTGAAGGTCTAGAATGTCTGCTGAAAGTTCTCTTGGAAATTCCTAGTGCTCCCTCACAGAACTCCATTTCCCAGAGTTCCTTAAGATTGGGAATGACAAAAGTCAGAGCCTTCTTGGTCAGGCCAAAGGGGACCATTGAGTCCAGAATCCTCTTCTCCCAATGGCCAACTATGGACCCCAATGGGCAAGCAGGATTGGAGCCCCAGAGCCTCTCCCTTGACGCCGTTTCCTGCAAGTGGGATTCAGAAGCATCGCTGCCTCTGATGGTGGAGGGAGAGCAGAGCCAGCCAGACTAGGAGCCATTAGGGCTTTTTCAGCCGTGGCTCCGATCTGGTGGAACACTCTGTCACAAGAGACCAGGGCCCTGTGGGACTTGACATCTTTCCGCAGGGCCTGCAAGACAGAGCTGTTCCACCAGGCCTTTGGCCAGGCCACAGCCTGACTCCCTCCCTCGGCAATCTTCGCGGAGCTCTGGCCCAATGGCTGCCAGTGGCTTGAATTAATTAATTTTATAATGAATGATTTTAGAGTGTTGTTTGTGCTGTACTTTTGTACTGTTTTATTGTTGTTAGCCGCCCTGAGCCCGGCTTCGGCTGGGGAGGGCGGGATATAAATAAAATTTATTATTATTATTATTAGAGCTTTTCCTCCATGAATCTGTCTAGTCCGTCTTTCAGGCCACCCAGGTTGACATCTGATGTCTTTCCACAGGGAGGGAGCCACTGCCAAGAAGGCCCTTTGCCTGGTACCCTGTAGCTGAATCACCGGAGGAGGAGGACCTCAGTGTCTGGGCTGAGCGATGGGGGTGGAGACGGTCCTTTGGGGCTGCCTTCAGATGTCTTCTAAAGCCTTTATACTTGCTTGTCTCCTTAGCACAGGGGTGGCATTACTCCATACCCTCCAGGATTTCTCAGGGGAAAATAGGCATGTCTTAAGGAAAAGCAGGACATTCTTAGATCAAATCAGAAACCAGGTCGGCTTCTGTAAATCTGGGAGGAGGAGCTTTGGCCCAGGGTATAAAAGGCTCCAGCCCTGGAAGAAGCTCCAGCTCAGCCCAGAAGGTTTTCTCCAGCAGCCGAGAGAAGCTCCCAGCCCACAGCCAGCCATCATGGCCGAGATGCAGATCATCACCACTATTTGGATGAGACTGGATGAGGCCGTCAATCCTGCAGAAGCCCTTGGCAGGTAAGTCCAGGGGTGGTTGCCTCTCTAGGCAGGTTGGGCAAGTGCTCCTCTTTCCACCTGGATAATAACCATCCATGCCTCTCCCTTTTTCCTTCCTTCCTTCCTTTGTTCCTTCTCTGCAGCCTGCTGGTGGTCTACCCCTGGTGCCAGAGGCTCTTCGCTCGCTTCGGGAACCTCTCTGACCCTGCCCTCTCATTAGGAACCTCTCCAGCCCTCTTTGCACGAGGTCAAGGAGGCTTTTTCCGAGCTGCCTGAACTGCTGTGCGACAAGCTCCACATGGACCCCGTCAACTTCAGGGTGAGGCTGCTCCCCCACCCCAAGGGGCTGCCTGGCAGGGGGGACTGGGGGTGCCGTGTGTGTGTGTGTCACTCTGGGTGGCTCACAGGACATAAAACATTAGACATTAAAAATTTCCTGCTACAGGATTGCCTTCAGATTTCAGTTAGTTGTTTATTTCCTTGACATCTGGTGGGAGGGCATTCCACAGGGCGGGCGCCACAACCAAGAAGGCCCTCTGCCTGGTTCCCTGTAACCTCACCTCTCAGAGTGAGGGAACTGCCAGAAGGGAGCTGGACCTCAGGGTTTGGGCTGAACATTGGGGGGAGACGCTCCTGTGGGTATACAGGGCTGAGGCCTTTTAGGGCTTTCAAGGTCAACACCAAAACTTTGAATTGTGCTCGGTGGTCTTAGCAGCCCCTCCCTATCACCAGTCTAGCTGGCGCATTCTGGATTTGTTGCAGTTTCCGTATCACCTTCAAAGGTAGCCCCACATAGAGTGCATTGCAGTAGTCCAAGTGGGAGATAACTAGAGCATGCACCACTCTGGCCAGACAGTCAGGGAGGGTCTCATCCTGCGCACCTTCAAAGGTGCATTGCAGTAGTCCAAGCGGGAGATAACCAGGGCATGGACCACTCTGGCCAGACAGTCCACTGAGGCGTTCCCAAAGTAAAGGAAGGATTGAACTCTGATTAATACAAATACACACAGAGGCTTGAACCAGCAAGACTTTGGGAAGGGTGAGTATAATAATCTCTCTCTCTGTGTGTGCCTCCAGCCCCTGGCCCAGGTCGTTTTATTCACAAAAGAACTTTTTACAGAGTGTTCGTAAGAACCAATCAGATTTCTTCTGAGCATTTCAACAAACCCACGTAGGGACAAAGTTAAACGACAAACACTAGTTAGGCATGCATACATTTGGGTAAATGAATGAAAACTACAAAGGAGTGCATTCAGCAACCCCGGAGGTCATAAACAATCAATACACATGAGAAGAAGGATGGCCAGGAGGACAGCGATCATTACCACCTTTGTGTGAGACCTGTTTCCTGGCCCTAAGATTAACACATCAGAAAAGCTACTTCAAAGAAGCTTGCCCACTATCTTTATGGCCCAGGATGCTTGCCTGGCAAAGCAACTGGGCTGTGTACGTGACTTGACAAGCAAGAGAGATGGGCAGTAGAGGAAATGGCCAGAGATGCAGAGGGTTGTGGGATTTGGTCAGAAATTATTGTCAATGAATCAAACCCAGTCAACACAATGCATTCATAGTGGACACAACGACTTGCCCAAAGTCCACCCTAAACAGTGCTTCTGTCTTGTCAGGATTCAACCTCAATCTGTTGAATGCGTTGTGGGATCTGTTGTGGGGAGAGGGTGACTCACACATGGGCCCCGGCAGAAGGAGTCACCCTCTCTTTCTCTTCCAGCTCCTGGGCAATGTCCTCGTCATCATCGTGCTACCCCCTCCCCCGGACAGGAATTCACCCCTGCTTACCACCATGCCTTCCACAAGCTGGTTCGGGTGATGGCTCATGCGCTGGCCCGCCGGTCCTACTGAGACACCCCCAGGGAGAAGCGGCCAGCTCCTACTGAACTCACCACCCACCGGGTGGGGGCCACCCTTCTTGCCCCCATGTGACGCTTGACCCTCTAATAAACCTCCCTCTGCAATATGACCTGGTTTCCTGTGTCCTCAATGCTCATGGCGGACTGATCCCCCCCATGTTCCAAGGCCCCCCCCCCGTCTCGATGGTCATCTCCCCACCCAGTTCTGGTCTGTTGCCCTCACTCTTCTTCCTACTCTAGAGAAATTGGGGGTGAGAGACTCAGAGGGGGATGCGGACCCTTCCCCTGCTCTGGAATCCATCCCTCTGAATAAGGGGTGGGGGTACCAACAGGGGCCACCCAGGGAGACCCCCCAAGGGCCACTCTCCCCCCGCAATGCCCCTCCCTGCCTCTTTCCAGATGGGTGTCAGGGATGGAGCTGCCTCCGAATCGGCAGGGAGAGGGAGGAATTCATTTCATTTTATCCATTTATTTGTTTATTAAATTTGGGGGTTTACAGTATGCAGTTACGATAGAAAACCACAAAACACATAAACAAAACAAAATCAACCCAATGAACACCCCCGCCAACATATTTCACACCCATAATAACATCAAAGGAGTTTACCACCTTCATTGAAACATCAAACAAACAGATCCAAAGTAAAACGCCTTGGGGGCAGCGAAGCTGGCAAGTCGCCTTTTGGGGGTCCCAGATGGAGTTCTATGGGGGGAAAGGGGCAGGTCTCCCCTAAGCTTCCGAGGGTATTGAAAGGGCATGATCTGCGGCCATCCAATAATGTCTTTTGGGGGTTTGTGATCCGGGATGGAAATCCCTGTCTCCCAGACGAAGCAGAGGCGAGGTTCTCCCCCAGTCCCAGGCTTGGAAGCAGCCGCTCCCCCTGTGGCTTTTGTCCTTCTGACTGCCAGCCAGGTGTCCTCGGGTGCAGAGCAAGCGCCTTCCTTGCGCCCTCAGGCCATTCGCTGGCCCAGAAAGGTGCCTGGCTCCTTCAGCAAAGGATTTCAACCCTCGCTGGGTCCAGGAATGAGAAGGGACTCGCTCCAGCATCATACTGGCTAAGCCACCCACCCCAAACTCAATATTTTGAAATCACAAAGGAAGCTTAAGTATACAGAGGACATTTAGTGCAGCAAAGTGAACAAAACAATTATCTTAAAAAATTATCTTCAACAAAACATTGCTTAAGGAGGTCAACTTTAAAACAGAGCAGAGCAAGAAGGTTGGAGACTTTAGCGAGGCACGTAGGCACTGGCGGAGGAAGAGGAGTGCGGGGGAGCGCATTGCCCCCGGCAGTTGCATCCCGGTAGGGGGCCATCTCGGCTGCCCCCCCGGGCCCGTGCTGGGCACTATGCTCCTGCAAGTGGCATGTCCTGCCCCCAGGACGTGCGCCGGACCCCCCACCTGCTCTCCGCCCCCCCACGTGCCGGAGCATGAAGCTCCCCCACTGCACGGATGGGGGTGTCATAGAAACATAGAATGGTCGAGTCCGAAGGGGCCCCAGGGTCAGCTAGTCCGACCCCCTGCAATGCAGGAATCTTTTGCCCATGACCCTGAGATGAAGAGTCTCCTGCTCTACCTGCTCAGGTAGCAGTGGGGGGCAGAATATGTGCTCCCCATATGCCAGTGTCTTTCTTCATAGTCCCCCTCAGTCCCTGCCCTGCTCCTGAGCCTCTGGCTTCTCAGAGATGGGGGCATGAGGGCATGTTTCGTACGTCACTGTATGAAGTATGGGAGAGATTGGGGGCCACCAGGTGGCGCATTGGAAGATGGCCGACAATAACATCTCTCCGACCCACACGAGGTAATTAAGAGGCGGCTATGGGAAGTATGCAGTCTTCCCAACCCCCCAAGGAGATGGGGGGGACTGCCTTGCCAGCGGTGGCCATAATGCACCCCCGGATTCGAGAGAAGGGGGTGCCCCGGTCACTTGGCACCAGCCCTCGGTGAAGTCGGCTCTTCCCGGACGCTGTCTCCAATCTGCGCGTGCTGGTTCGCTTGAGCTCGAAAATACAATTGGAAATATATAACTGGAAGAAGCTATAGCATATACATCAAGCAAAGGTCGGGAGATAAGACTGCTGATTAATGGATCTCTGGTATCGGAGCGGCGGGCGAGGACAAATAAATCAAGCGATGAAGCGCCATTAAGAGATTGGTATGTCTGGAGTGAAGAAGGGGGGTGGAGGAAAAAAACTTTTCTTTTCTTTGCCTTATGTGAGTATTAATAATCCTCCACCCCAAAGAAAGAAGAATCGCCGTATTTTATTAATCACAAGCAGGAATTTAAAAACTGTGTGGGATGAATTAATGATGAATGAAGAGAGGATTGGTAAATATCGGAGAATGGAAAAATTCTATGACGCAGTTTTAAAATGGCGTCTCGCAAGACAGGCTTGTCTAAGAAAGATGGGGGGAGGAGAACCAGGACTATTGGAATGTGAATGATGATTGGAATTTGATCTTAACCTGGCAGAGCCCTCTAGGAGATATTTTACAAGCCTGGGAAAACTAAAGGGCAGACCGAAGATAAATTTTTGAAGGAGGAGGGGAATGGCGGCTGTCCCTATGAGATATGACTGGTGGAGTGTGTAAAACCCACACAGACGATGTTTGCTTCCAACCTGCTTGTGAAGATTATCAGAGATCGCAAAGAAAGGAATATATGACAACAACAAGAAGATGAAGAAAGTAATAAAGAGACTATCTGGATAGAACTGGATAGAACTGTTTAATTAAAGCAGTAATAGAAGTGATGTTTGGATCCTCGTTCGGAGCTTGATGAATGGGTACCCCCAACAAAATTGAAAAATTTGGCTGTATAATTTGCAATTAATGTGATTTGAAATAATGTGATATGATTGGCCTGTTAATAATTTTTTTTTTTTTTTTAAAAAATATGAAGTATGGGAGAGATTTTAAAATCTATTGGAACGTATAACACCATGGTGGCTCTCACTTTTCGAGGCAATGAGTGTGAAAAAGATAAATATGAATAAGAATTGAGCAACCTATCAACAATTAATGATGGAGATGGAAAACCAATGGAAATTAAAGCCGTGTGAAGAGGTTACATTTTTGTGAAAGATTGGTTGCATTATCGTCAAGTCAATGAAATGTTTAAAGAAGATTAAATAAAAATGGATTTGGATTTACTAAATCGAGGTTTGAATTGGAATTGTTAAACAATAAGTTTAAAATATGATCTATAATGTACAAATTACTATTGGAATGACATTTAAAAGATGAAGAAGTTAAATCAGTAATGATACATTGGGCTAAGATATAGGGCATAATATACCAATAGACGATTGGGGGAGGTTATGGAAAGAGGGAATAAACTTTACAGCCTGCAGTGCATTAAAAGAAAATATAATGGAAATGATGTACAGATGGTATAGAACACCGGTAAAACTAGCCAAAATGTGCAAAACAAATAATAAATGTTGGAAATGTAAAGAAAAAGAGAGCACGTTTTACCACATGTGGTGGGAATGTAAAAAAGTGAAAGACTTCTGGGAAATGATTTATAATGAAATTTTTAAAATGTTGAAATACACATTTCCAAAAAAACAGAAGCTCTTTTACTTGATATGGTAGGTTCAGAAATACATAAGAATGATTTTTGAAAAAACAAAATAATAATAAAAAACTGTTTTTGCTGGACTTCCAGTTGGTCGCCCAGTTATGGCAGTCAAGAGCTCTTTCCACTAAAAGAGCCCCTGCGCTTTGAAGTTGGGGAGACCGCGAGAGCGTCACGGTTCCCTGGAAAGAACCTCAGATCGGGCGTTCTGAGGACCTGGTGTTCCAGCAGGTGCCTTTTGCGACTCCCCTGCTCCCCGGTAAGCTTCCTTCAAAGCAGCGAAGCTCCGAGACTGGCGATCGTGAGCGGCCAATTCCTTCATAAAAAAGACTGAATAATTCGGAACTGTAAGTACTTTCAAAACTAATTCAGAAAAGATTGGGAAGAAAAGGGAGACCTAAAAACGGAGGTCAGTCCCCTTTGTTGGAAAAGTTGAAAATCGGTGTGCAAAGGCCGAAGACTTAAAGGAAAGAAAAACTTTTAAAACCCTGTAAGCAATTTTGCCCCCCCCCCCCCACTTCAGGGGAAGAGGGGGTATTTGTGCCTTGGATATAAATTTGGGAAGTCTGTGAATTCGACTGAGACCTTCCCATTCGGCAGCGGACCACCCGGGAGGGAAGACTAGTCTCCATTGTGACGTCACAATGGAAGAGGAAACATTCAATCTCCGTTTCCACTGACTTAGCTACAAACTTTCCTGTGCTGCCTGTCTACATTCTGAATTGGCTAAAAAGTGTCCCCCTTCCTCAGAATAAGGGGAGAATTGGAAAATTTTCTCTTTGCCAGTTCTGTCTTTGGTATTCAGCTAGTTTGGAACGTTAAGGAAGCTGCCTCTGGGCTGGCTGCAGTGGGATTGGTGGAGGGAACTTGTTTTTCTCCTTTATTGTGCCAGACTGTGAGATTGACCTTGACATTCCTAAGCTATTATGAGTTCAGAAAGGCTGAGACGTGGTTCTAAAACTCCACAATTTGAGGAGTCGGTGATGTCCATGTTAGCTGACATAAAAAAGGTTTAGATTGTAATACAGCAAGCATAGATAATTTGGAAAAGAAGATTGAACATTGAAGTACTGACATGAAAGACGAGAAAAAGGAAATAACCACACATGATCCAAGGTTGGCACAGCTGGAGACTGTTACAGTGCCAGACTTGGAACGGTTGCAGTATGAAAATGCTAATTTGATCGCCTTCCTTCTGTTGAAAGAAAAAGAATCGTATTTGAGATTGAGGGGGGTCCCCTTTCTGGAAGAAGAAAAACTCAGAATCTCTGATAGGATTTTTTGTGGAATATTGGGACCTGAAAAAAGAGGAAGTGGAAGCTTGGGTAGAGAAAGCGTACAGATTTGGGCCTAAAAGGAGACTAAAAGAACTTATGATT